CCTGCAAAATTATGGCACCTGGTGTCAAGTCATTTTCAAGAAAATGGTATTTTTGTATACTTTTACCAACGGTGGTCGGCCGACCACCGTTGGAAAAACCTAACTATTTTTCAACTACTGCTCCAAATGTACAATTTTCTCCGTCCAAATTGTGTTTGCTATTGGTTACATGTTCATGAATGGGTGCAGGCCAGCTAGGCTGGTTCCCTTACCTTACAATTTTCCGACATCTATAAATTGATCATTTTATCTTCAGTGGAGTCAGGGAACCGGACTACTTAAACAATTTTTGTTTTTCTTGGTTATACAAGCATTTTCAAACACAAAACTTCAAACATGTCACTTAAACAATATTTGATCTATTATACTAACCCCCTAAATAGTTCATTTCTGAAAATTACAGCAAAAGCCAATGATGTACATTCCCTTTAACAATATTTGCTATAACAAACTAGTCCTCTAAATCCTTTTCTTTCTGAAAATTTCAGCAAAAGCAAATGTTGTACATTCCCTTTAAGACCAAGGCCAAGGCGTTTGCCCTCAAGCCTTAAGGCTAAAGCCAAGGCCCTAAAATCCAGCCTCAAGGCCAAGGCTGAGCATCAAGGCACTACATCACTGGCACCAATGCATTTTTTTTTCGATTAAAGCAACACCACTATAGGCTTATAAATCTGAAGCAAGTCAATAAAAAAAACTAACCTATCAAAATTTCAGCCCAGAAAAAAAAAATGTAAAACTGCATTCAATTAAAATTCTTGCTTGACGCAAGGCAATGTTCCCCCTCAATACCCTCACTTACAAAATTTTCGTCAAGTACGCTTTGACTTGCACCCTTCAGTCGTTTGTTCCCTACTTTGAGAATCGGGAGAAGCAATTCCCATTCACGAACATGAAACCGATTGAAAACTAAATTAGATTCGGTCAATAATGGGGCAAGAATTTGAAGAAACCCGATTTTTGTTCTCGCGATGGTCAGAGAAAATGATGGCAATTCCTCTTTTTTTTGAAATGAGAGCATAATATTAGGCGCAATTTCACCGGATTCTTGATCCTATACTCACCTGCGATGAAGTAGGATTTGTCATGATATGTTTGCAGTTCGTTTTTTAATCTTTACAAATGGTGTCCATAAATAATCCAATTGTAGTTAAGAGAGGACAATTCTATCGATGAGCTGGGGTTTGTTCTCTTTCGATAATTGGTAGAATTTGAGTATCCTGGCAAAACTTTTTTTCATGAAAATAATACAAGATTTATGTTATCATTTCTAGCCATCAGGCCTAGTGTTGAGTAATCATAGTCGTTCAGCATTCAGATTTACCAAACATAATTGTTCCTATCTTGCTGTTCCATCAAACTGTAGTAAGATAATGAACTCTGGAGAGCCTTAGATAAGATTCACTTGGAAAACTTAGCTTTTTATGGGTTTACAATCACTCAGTATAACATTTAAACTAAAGTGTGAAAAAGTTTGTTAATAATACACACTGCTCAAAGTTTGAAGTGTTAGCTATGAGTGTTACGTACCTTGTATTGACGCGTTGTCAGCCCTCGTCAACGAGTCCCCGATCCTTCAGAGACTGGTCTCAACCAGCGTTGACTTTATCCTAAAACAAATCTCTCATTTCCTTTGCAGTGTAGAACAACCGTTGGTGTTGCGGATCCTGTGCATTCATGACAAGTTTCCATGGGTGATAGAATGTCCGATATGACTCGCTCATGGATTTGGGAGCTCTTGTATGTAATCGGACGTGTGTCGAAATATTAATTTTGCAAAGACCCAGAAACCAGCTGCACTCGGCGCGCTTCTTTAAGCGAGTTCATTCGCTGCTGCCTGACAAACAAATTCATAATTTGACTATCAATAGCACTTTCCCTAATACGGGCTTGGAATCGGGCCTTTTGGGGGGTTTTGGAGACTGGCGGTGCCGGTGTAGCGTGAATTTACGTTTCTATGAAATTCGGACTCATTGGTAATACCACGCATGCGTAAGCATGGTAATTAGGAAAGTGACCGGTCACATGAGAGGGATTAACCAATAATAGGGAAAAGGGGTCCGATTTTCATAGGAGTCGGATTTTCATGTGACACCGGTGGGGCACCTCTGTGACGTGTAAGCGTGTATTCCGTGTTCAAACCCCATGCATGACTTTTGGCTGACTCGTACCACAGCTGTGATTGGTTAAATCATTAGGGGCGGGGCTTATCGAATCGAAACAAAGGAGTAGTTTCAGAGTGTTCAAGTTTTTTTGTGATGCATCACGTGTTGTTGCTCATGCAGGCAGCGTAGAGAGGGCGAAGCCTAATGGGACCGTAAAGTCAGGCAGAATATTTAACTATTGCATACTTGCATATGACGGTGCATTGGATTGAAATAATCTAGAACGAAAGAAACCGAAACCCTTTATTGCATAGCCAGACAATTGCATAGCCAGACATTTATTTGCAATAGAATACCTCCCCCGCCTGAACTCACCAATGAAAGAGTGCATGTGACCTCTGAGCGTATTCTCGCTGAAGCAAGGCTACTGGGCCGACGGCCGTCGGTGATTGAATGCTCTCTTATACATTGCACTGAATTGACAATGCCTCCAATAATAGGTCAACATATTGGACTCAAATGGTTTGAAAATCAATGGGAACCGTTGAAGAATAAATTTAATATAATTTAAAGAACTACATAGCACTAATCGAGAAAAAAATCAATCCAAATTCAAGTCACTTATACATGGGCTGTATCTGTCAGTGCACAAACCATCGGCGTTGTTTTCCTATTGGCTCATTCTGGTTTGTACACGAAAATGTCACTTAATCGAGAGTGTCCGAGTAATGCGTTCAAGACCGCAAGTTAAGACAATGTGCGCAAATGCTATCCGAAAACGTCCCATTGAAATGTACACATTCCATACTGGATATTATTTCTGTTTCATTGCGGACCATTTCAATGCAATCCGGCAGTTCGTGATTCGAAACGGAGCCTGAGCATGTGCCGGGAATTGTAAATTTACAACAAAGATAATTTGATAGAATTTCCTACATTAAGTGAACAAAAATAAAACTCACATTATGGAGACGTTAACTCAAGAAAAACACATTGCATTGAATTGCAATTTCGTCAAAAAATGGTTTAAGATCTAGAACACAAATTTATTGAATATCGACGAGAACCATTGAAGAATAAAATGAATATGTTTTTTTTTAAAATACAGTTTACTAATCGCGAAAAATTCAATCCGAATTCAAGTCACTTGCACTCTTTGTGGAGACAATAACTCATGAAAAACACATTGCACTGAATTGACAATGCCTCCAATAATAGGTCAACATATTGGACTCAAATGGTTTGAAAATCAATGGGAACCGTTGAAGAATAAATTTAATATAATTTAAAGAACTACATAGCACTAATCGAGAAAAAAATCAATCCAAATTCAAGTCACTTATACATGAACAAACCTAAAGCACACTTGTACTAATGTTTTCGAGTTTGAAGTGTTTCCAAATGCTCCTATTTTAACCAGAATTTATTTCCTGGGCTGAAATTCGGGCTTAACCCTAAAGAAATATCTATTTCGAGATAACCTTGTTGAGACGTATTCATCTATAAAAATTACCCTGTGGAGACGTAAATAATAATATCGTGTTCCCTATTATGCCCAAGTCTCCACAGGGTACCGTGTACCAGTTCACGATTGCAGGAGCCGTATTCATTAAACCTTACTAAGCGTAGTTGGTTACTAAAAGGCATGTAGTTGCTTACTAAGCCTAGTTGATAACTAATTGGTTTTCATGAAACAGTACTAGCGTTAAGTAAATTCGAAGTTTCTTACTGAAGTCAGTATTGATCCAGCGCAACTCTAAGTCACTAGTTAGCAACAATTTCATTACTAGTTGTGTCAGACTTGGCTCTTTAGGTGGCTTTCCCCCTCTGGTTATCTTCTCGGATTCATTATACCGCGCCGTGACATTTTTTAATGCATGTCTATGACACGCAATGGGTGAATGACCGAAGACATGATTGACCTATAGAAAGCGCCTGCTGGTTGGTCAAAATCTAGCAAGTCAGAGGCGGGTTCTTGCCTAATTAATCAGCAAATTTGTCGGCGCATAACAGACCACGGCATTCGCCGTGGTCTATTACATAGACTACCCAACTCCTGGTTAGACGCGTGATATAAACGGCCTGTACTGGTGGCAAATACCATGAATACTTTCCATCAAAGACCACTGCGCGCGGTGGCATTCAGATTTGCAAGGCTCACTGCCCGATCTGGCGTCGAAGTCTGTCAAGCCAGGGAATTATATTTTTGAATATTCTTGGGTCAACTTTTTTGGTCTTTATTATTGAATTCTGATAGGTGATAACTACATAACCATGGTAATGCCGAGCACAATATCTTTAGCTTTAAGTTGAACAATGAAATGTCACTTTTGTTTTATCGATTCGACATCATATCTCTCAGAAACTTTTCAATAAAAGTCTAATTAAAACGAAATTTGGGTAAACAGTGTTGTCCTCAAAATTTGACTCGTATTTCCCGGGTAAATACTTCATCTAAGGCGACAAAAACTGCAGAATACCATCTGTTATATCCTGAAGTATTTATTTATTTTTTTGGAACAATTACATCTTCAATCAGGAGTAGTTTTGCTTACAGTTTTATGAATATTTCCTTTTTAGATGTCATGCGAAAACCCAACACAATGGCTCACCTGGAAAATTCGAGATTACAAGCCACCGGGTATTAATGCCCGTTAACACGCGTCTAGACAAGTCCGCACACTGCATTTTGTACGTAGAGCTCAGAGCAGTCGTTTATCCTGGTGTCTAGGATCCGTGATGCGAAGAAAGGACTACTGATTCTATCAACAAAGAAATAGGATTCGGCAGTCCGTGTAATGAATCCACGACTTCTTTGTGGACTTTTATGTCTATGTAAATGACTGTAGCGGTGGCCACAATTTGGCCCTGGAGGTGTGTCACAAGCTGCAGCTATATTGTGCTATGCTTCAGTTGGTGCACGCAGTCGACTCGTCACTGTGAAGTTAGCTACTTGTCCCTTCTGTAGATTGTCTTGACTGATTGATGAAGATGATGATGCGATCTGTTCCCGTCTTCGTGTTTCTAGGCCTCTTGGCCTTCCAGGTCGCCCTTGCCGATTGGTCAGAACGCCGCACCGTCGAAGAGTTTCCAGATGTAAGTTTTGCTCCTCCAAATCTAGCCCCATAAATGTGGCCTATTTACTGGACTGCCTCCGTAAACATAGGCCACACATCCACATGTACAAAAAACGTGTCGACTTTGCCAAATATTGATTTTCACATTTAGGCTTACTTTTTACGTTTTTTTTTTGCTTTAGAAGCATTTTCACCCTCTATATAGGCTAATCAGAAAGTGCTGCCTTTTTCAGATGTCCATTTTTCGTGAAATTTCCAGATACATTTGCACACGTTTGCGTATCAAAATTTCAACATGAAATTTCACAAAAATTAAACATCTGGAAAAGGCAGCACTTTCTGATTAGCCTATATAGAGGGTGAGAATGCTTCTAAAGCAAAAAAAATCTACAAAGTAAGCCTAAATGTGAAAATCAAAATTTGGCAAAGTCGACACGTTTTTTGTACATGTGGATGTGTGGCCTATGTTTACGGAGGCAGTCCAGTAAATAGGCCACATTTATGGGGCTACTCCAAATTGTGCTTCATTCGCCCTGCATTGGAAAAAAAAACATTCACAGACATGGCTGAAATTTGGGCTTAAACTTTGCTTACGTGGAATTTTAGATGCCCTTTATCTGTCCTCACAACTGTGCAGTAACAGTTCGGGGTTAAGAAAGAGGTTAAAATCAAACCTGCAGTTCAATCGTTCCATGTTCATTCACTGTAAACACAACTCTGTGATTGTAACTTTCTCCAATCTCCATGTTGTGACTAAATTAAACGAAGCAATATACTGATTGATTGTTCCCTTGTCTCGATTCTGTTGCCAATCAGCAAAAGCGTAACGACGAGAGCAAACTGATGGATGAACTGATCTCCCGCCTTCTGGACAACAAACGTCAGCAAAGTCATAAAGGTAAAATAATATTCTGCACATTTCTTTTGGAATTACATTTCTTTATGGAGGGAAAAACTATGATCTTCACTAGAGTGTATTACGATCACAATGACGTCACACAGGTGTTTTGACATGCATTTATCAGTATCTGACATTTTTTATAGAATTTTCAGTCGGTGTAGTTCGGCCAAAATAAAAAACTCAAGACTTTTAACGTGAGTCTGCCTAGACTTGGCCCAAGTCTGGGCTTCACTTGATCTGTGTACTGGTACAATGCACACATATTGCATGTACTGCACGGTCATATTAGCGCTTTGTAGCGCGCGCCCTCACACGTCATTTCAAGACCATCATGTACAAAAAAATGTTCATGTACATGTTATCTTTATGTGACTCGTTAATTTCTCCAAATCACATTTATGCACATTTTATGTACCTTTGAACATATGCACATTGTACGCGTACTGAACACAGTGTCCAAGAATTGCTGTAGGGCCTTTGATCTCAATTATAAAGGGTAACACCCTCCCCCCCCCCCCCCCCAAAAAAAAGCAACCCTGAAACATTTTCTGATTTTTGGACAGACGTGATCAGTAAAATTTTGTATTTTGGGTATCGGATTAAAGCTAAGCGTTTTTACTTTGAAACACTGAACAAAAAATCATTGATATAGCACATCGGGTTGGTGCAAAAATGCCAATTATGTAACACTACTCCTTTTGGGTGTATTCCGATGGCCATTACCACAGTTAAGGAATTGACACTGTACCTATTTGTGCATGAAATACGTGTTGCGCATTGTGTCCTAATCATTACAAGCAATATAACAGCACACAACATGACGACAGTACAAATGAATGTGATGGAAATACCGTTAACCTTTCATTTGAACAGGTATCGTATCCTTTTTAGTCCTATTTTAAACCTTTTCAGCATCATCAATATGTAAAAATATTATTTAGATTGTACAAATGAAAGACAATTGAAGTAACATGTTTCACTGTTTGGAGCACAATTGGAATTCAAATTTTACACAATTGGCATTTTCTCAGCAACCCAATGTACATATATATGAAAGTAAAAGCTCTCAACTTTAATCTGATACCCAAAACATTTTTTTTTTTAAATCACAGATGTTTTTGAAAAAAGGCAATGTTTCAGGGTTGCATGTTTTTTCTTTTCTTTTCTTTTCCCCTGTAAAGTCTGTATAATGGAAGATCGTTGTGTGCGACACTGAAGTGTCACGCATGTTGGTGATTTTAATCAGCGCTGTTTGGTGGTAGCGGGTGTATGTTACAGACTCCTAGAAAGTCCGACTTGGGTCAAGTCTTGGGTCTGCCATGGTACTTGGTATATAGTGACAATCGAGGACGTATGAGATTTTGATGATTTCGTTTTTTCGTTTTCATTCCAGTTTGCGCTGAGGATGAGGACTTCTATTGTTGGGATTCTGGATGTAACACTCCAATTGGTATCATTGGAAGTAAGCAATCCCTGCTATTCTTGAAAGCGGATTTTGGTGTTTATGGGTTTGTTTCTACATTCAGTAGGGGACGGTGAACAATAGATGACAATGGGGTCCCCAATTTCCGAGAGGTCCCTTATTTGGATTAGTGTACAAAACATATGGGAGGTCTTCCAAAAAAGTTAGTGTACAAACAAAAGAGGGACAAGAGGACGTCCACGATCGACGGTGTGAACGCGCTTTCATGGCTGTGTGTGCGTTTGTTTATGGTGTAAATCGAGGACACACACGTGCAACATCAACGGTGAATCGAGGTCAGAAACCGAATCGAGGACTCCTCGGTTGGAAAACGTATACAAAACTTATGAGAGCTGTTGCAAAAAAAGTTAAAGTACACAAAAAGGAAAAGGGAAAAGGAACAAAAGAAAATCTTCAATTTACGCTATAAACGAAAGTTTGTGTGTGTGTATTTGTAACGGGTCTTTTTCTTCAAGTACATGTATTAGCAAGAACTTACACCATATTTAATTTTTTTTTTGTAAATATCCTTTAAGCTAATCATCTAATGACGCTATCAATTCTTGGTGTTTTTTTATGTGTAGATGCGTATGTCGAATTCTATTCGAATACTAATCTGTTCGTGGTTTCACTTGAGTACTGCTGCGATGCGGATGGTTACTGGGACAATCACTTTGAGGAAAGACAGACAGGTAAACCATATCCCATAATGTTGAGCTTTCAGCTATGACGTACGCTCATTCGATTCAATACGTAACTATAAAATTGAAAGTGACAGTTTTACAACCTTTAAATTTGAGTAGAATTCCTAAATTGCTTCAAGAATCCAGTTTGATATCTGAATAATGTAGTCCAGGTCAAGGTCATTCGGGATAAAATCGCTGACGTGATCATTTACGCGATGATAGGCAAACGATGCTACGCGCCTGTCTTCCTGCGCGTTCGTGCACCTTCGATTATCCCGAATGAACCGTGACCAAAATCATTGTGCGCATGCGTAGAAAATGGTGTAAGTTCACAACGCTCTAGTTCGCTGAAATTATGGACTACCAAGCAACAATCGGAGGATGAATCTAGGGTGTAATAATGGTGGGAGAATTGGCCTCCCCTATCCTTCCTGTGGCTATCTCATCAGATGATTTGTTTGTGTGAAGCCTGTTTTGATTGTGTTGATTCACTGTAAAACAAAACAAAAAAGTTGTGCAAAATGGGTTGATAATTCAACTAATGCTGGTCAATTTATCAACTGCCTACACTCTTGGGCAAACTCTTGCCTATAGTTTGACACTTTTTACCCAATTCAACGCAAAATAAGGTACTTTCATAGCAATGTTGGGTAAATTACATTGCCCAATGGTGTTTTATCGAACCTTTTTAACGTGTAGTAACGTCTCCAGCTTTTTATGCCGGAAGGGAGGGGGGCGCCAAATTTGTCTGGACCGTCTTAAAACAGTGTTCAAATTAAAAACGACACCAAAATGGCGTCAGGGGAGCAAGTTTCCCCCTTACCCCAACCCCAACCACCGGACACGACACTTGGTAACTGAAGAGTACGATCTTTGGGAAAACTTACCTTCAAAGCACAAACACAACTTAAAAACAGATTACGTGAAAAGCTAGCCCAAACTCGGATTTCAAATTTCCTTTACTTTCGCTCACACCTTTTCATGTCATTGGCGTGTAGCCATAGTCCATTTAAGGGGTGGGGACATTTTCTGCAGGAGTTTTTTTTTTCTCGTATTCTGTGGGGGTGTACTACTTTATTTACCCCACTGGGAGAATGGGGGGCAAAGGTAATAGTTTGGGGAATAAAGGCAAGTAGCCTAGATTTTCATCTTACAGAAAACATAATTTTGTTTTCTTCTTTTTATCCAAGTATCCGATCTGTCCAAAGTGCTGCCTTACTCCAAGGAGTACACCTTCGACGAAAAGACTTACAAGATGACCGTCCAAAGCGTCGTGACTGGCGGATCGAAGCTCTCTGTCAGTGGGGTGTGCGTGGAGTAATGACGACGCCACCACCGGAACCACAAGAGACGCACACTTGGAACCGACCATGGATTTTTAATGGATTTGTTGGGTTTTGTTCTGTGAGATTTTTGATTTTCTAACAGGCTCGGACTTATTTAATAGTTATTCGTATATAAATAATCGCCACTGATATTTAGTTGGTATGGGGGTGCTTTCTTCCATTATATTTTTTTCGTAATCACCTACGTTTTAACAGCGTTTTTTTATTCTTTTCTTTCATAGTAATCCCTATTACGTTTCAACAGTATAGGCCTATATGTAGTTACGAATGAGAAGTAATATACTAGAGCGGTACAGTAGCGTATATCTTCTGAGGCACGGGGGAGGTGTACGTGGACCCCCCCCCCCCCCACCGCCCCCCCCCCCCCTATGTCTCTGCCCCCCGGATTTCCCTCATTTATATATGTAGCCTTCAATGGTCCCTTGAATAAAGTATACACCCCAATGTGCCCCTACAGTGTTAACCATACACCACTGGAGTGCTACACTACAATATATTTGTCCACCATGGACTCTGGGCACTGAAGGCGCTGGCTGTAACGCGCATGCGCCAGAAATGAAGCGGTTGGTTCTTTGACTCTATCTCCTCTGCAGCCGATTAATGGGAACATTGCGTAATTTACACGCGTACGATTTACAGGAATTTGTGGGGTAGATTCACCACCTCTTAAATATGATGGACTTTTTTGGACGAGATTATCATAACTTGTTGTGTACGATTTCATTCCGGTGACAAAACAGTCATTGAATCACCTGCGCCTACCGCCAGTTTCTTGACTGCTTTTTTTTCTGAATCGGACAAAAACTCTCAAATTTGTTATCGGTTTCTGGCTAGGGCAGGGCTGGCGAACGTCTTAATTATGTCACCTTTATTGTATTGCTAGTAAATCTTTTGAAACGTAGCATCGGTTTTGAAAGGAAATCGCATAATAAAAACAAGACATATGTGTTGCAGTATTGATGTGATAATGAAAACAAATGTTGTACACGTCAACAAACAGATGACGCAATCATTAATTTTGTAAATTGTAGTTGAAAATGACTTTGAACATTTTCAGGCGTTTACCTTGGGGGCGTATCGGGGGAGAGGCAACTTGACCCTAATGGCATTTTGACGGCGTCATAAAACAGAACTTGTTTTTTTCAAACGCTTCTTAGACGCTTCAGACGTCTATACAGTAGAGTCTTAATTCCCCCCCCCCCCCCCATAAAACATCGGGAGACGTTACTGCACGTCTTTATTTTTTTTTCCTTTTGTAGTTGTTTGCATCTCTTCCTCAAAACTTTTGAAATAGTTATCCGTTGTGCAAAGGCAATATCTACTTCACAACATAAACCATCACAGTCCTCCAATCAGTTGAAAAAGTTGTTGTTTCAAGCATTTGATTTGCAAATAGCGACCTTAAAAGGAGAGGGTCCTTGTGTTTAAGGTGTGGCACTCATAAAAAAAATACATTTTAAATTTGAACAGATGGCAATTTTATTTGAGCATTGCAAAATGTCTGACCTATCTCCAATGAGACATTCTACGCTATGTTGTTAAATACTGTTTGTTTTATTCAATTCAAATGCATACCAAACCATTCAGGATAAACTTCACTCCAGTCGCACCTTAGCCAATACCAGCCCATTGACGTCGTGCCTAAAGTACACGCGTATCACTTCAGTGTGTGCACATAATCGTACGCTTCACAGACTTAGCGCAACACCCGACTTGGGCTAAGTCTAAATTCAGCTCAAACAAGCACAGTACACGGGATCGTCGCTAGACTACTTGAGGGGCGGGGGGGGGGGGAGGAAAAGAAATCTGCCGAAAGACTATCCCTGCCAGAAGGTAGACAGATATTTTGTTTCATGGTCATCCGGCCGGCCTCCATTAATCGAAAAGCCGGGTTTGGGAGTGGGGAGGGGGTCGAGACTATCTTTCTATAGGGGCGCTGTTTAATGGTTGTAAATCTTATCTAACAGCAAATATACTACTCAAATCACAAACAAATACTTTATTTCGATCATTTTTGTGTCACAAACTAAATACACATGCATGTTTCGCTGACAAAGTCCATTGACATCTACATAATACCAGCAGGATGCATCGCTCTATAATATGTTGAGTTGTCTTATAAACATGACACTGTCATAAATGCAATCATTGGACTGGTTGCTATCTGCTGACACAAAAGTCGTCATTTGTTTCTTAAAGTCAAACTACCTGCGATAATGAACTGTATACTCTGTTGCAAGAGGGCGCTGTTTAATTAAGTGCGACTTCATGAACTCTTCGCCGAGCCGTGTACAGACTATTTTCGTCTTTTTGGAACAAAAATGGCGTTCAAAAATAGCACCAACCATGTCACTCTCTCTATAGACGAATCCAAACACGTTATCACTTCCATTACGGAGGCCCCGAAGCATTGTGCTATATATTCCTCAGGATGACTGTCATGAAACAGTCGTTTTGTACAATAGCTAGCGCAATGCTTTCACCATTGAAGGGGGCCTGATGGGGTTTCACAGTCATCACGTGTCTAGATGAGTCCTTACACGGCCCATCGTAATCTGGTTGAGTAATGCTCTGACCGTATAGTTAGCTTTTGAAAGCAACCAGGTTATCTACATCGGCCTTAACCACTGTAACTAAATATTCAAACGAAGGAGTAGCTTCTAATAGCAAAGCAAGCTACACTCAAGCAAAAAAGAAAGTCCCCTTAATACTTTTTTGTGTAACTTCTTCTTCTTCTTCCTTCTTAGTGCTGCCTTCATATGTTGAAGATAAACGCACTGCGTTGGGCGCATGCATTGTCTAAAGACAACAGGAATTTGTACTCAGGTACAGTGCTATATGTACAGGTGAAAGTAAAAATCTGGTGGTGCGATTAATCCGAGCGGATGTCCCTCAGCGCAGACTTGAAGGCGTTGAGGGATGGGTATGCAGCAGGATCAACTGGGAGGTTGTTCCAGTCTCGGATGGTACGTGGGAAGTACGAGCTAGCATACACTGAAGATCTGGTGTGTGGGATAGTGAATCTGGAACTGTGTCCTCTGGTAGATGTCGATAATTGAGTAAGGTAGTTGTTCCAAGGGATGTCGACCAAGTTGTATCTGATCTTGTACATCATCTGCAGGCGATTTTGGTGACGACGTTCCTGTAGTGAGGGCCAGTCAAGATGTTCTAACATGGATGTAACACTGCTGGTTCTTCTATAATCGCCCATGACGAAACGAGCCGAACTTCGTTGGACTTGCTCAAGCTTCTTGGTATTCCGTTGGGTATGTGGATCCCATGAAGCTGCTGCAAATTCGACGAATGGACAAATGAAGGTGGTGTAGACAGCTTCTTTGACTTTCTGGCTGCTGTGGCTCAGATTACGGGAGAAGAAGGCCTTGGTGCCGGTCGCTTTCCTGGTGATGTTGTCGATATGAGTATTGAAGCTCAGCCTGGAATCTGTGTGGAGTCCCAGGTATCTGGCAGAGGTGGAGACCCCCAAGACATGACCATGGATGGTGTATGAGGCAGGGAAGGGCTTCCGCTTGTGGGTGACTTGGACAACCTGGCACTTTGTAGCATTAAAGTGCATCAGCCATTTAGCTTCCCAGTCCTGGAGGGCGTCTAGATCTTGCTGGAGGCTAGCTGTGTCATCGGTTGAGGTGATATGTTTATACAAAACACTGTCATCGGCAAACAATCTACATGTAGTTGTTGAGCTTCTGATGCATTCAGGCAGGTCGTTGATGTAGATTAGGAAAAGTAGGGGACCAAGGACACTCCCCTGTGGAACCCCGGATGAGACGATGGATTCACTACTCTTCTGCCCATCAACGAGCACAGATTGGGAACGAGAGTGGAGGAAATCTGATATCCATGCCAGTGTTGCGCCTTTAACTCCATAGTGCTGGACTTTCTTCGGTAGATGTCGATGTGGCACTTTATTGAATGCTTTCTCGTAATCGAGCAGGACCACGTCAATTTGTGACTTGCTGTCCAGTCTCTTGGTGAGGTCATCCAGCATACAGATCAGTTGCGTTTCGCAGGATCTGTATTTGCGGAAACCGTGCTGCGCATCTGACAGGATGTTGTTGTCGGTAAGGTGTTGGATCACAGCACAATGAATGATGTGCTCGCACAGTTTGCAGAGTACAGATGTCAGAGAAATCGGTCTGTAGTTGGCGGCATCAGAACGACTTCCCTTTTTGAACAATGGGACTACTTGCGCTATCTTCCATTGTGATGGTACCCTCCCTTGGTCGATTGAAGCCTGGAAAAGTAACGTTGCTGCAGGAGCAATCTCCACAGCCGTCTGTTTTAGCAGCATGGTAGGTATCCCATCTGGTCCAGAGGCAGTGAAGGGCTTGAGATTTGTTAGGAGTTTGATCACTCCATTCTCGCTCAGAGTGATGTTTTCCATTTCAGGATGGTTGCTGGTGCCTAGGTCAGGTAGTGGAGCTCCGTTGTCAGTTGAGAAAACCGATGTGAATTGCCGGTTTAGAATGTTGGCTTTGGCCTTGGGATCCGTGTGTAGAAAGCCTCCTTCTTTCAGAGGTGCAACACATAAGATCACATCGCTTGGCTTTCACGAGAGCACCCAACTTCTTGTTCCTACAACCTGCTGGTACGCTGTGGATGATGTCATGGACATACGTGTTGTAGGAATTTCGGCAGATGTTTAGAGCATCCTTCTTTAAACGCTTGAAGCGAATCCAGTCTCTGGCTTTGTTTGTGCGACGAGCCTTCTTGAAGGCACGACCCTTTTGTCTCAGGATGTGCTTTGATTTAGAGTTGAACCACGGTTGATTGACTCTTGTGGAGCTAAGCTTAGATGGAACACAGTCGTTGATGATCTCTTCAAGCTCCAGTTGCAGTGCAGTAGCAAGGTCTTCAACTGGCGTTGAAGTAGTAAACTTTGAAGTGAAATCATCTGACATCTGATGGACTCTCGAGCGGGTGGTGACAAGGTCGGCCCTTTTCCAGAGCAGAATCTTGCGCCGAACTGATTTCCTCCTATAGGCGCGGGCGTTCGCGTCCATGAATACCATGTCATGGTCGCTTAAGGCTGGGAGACCCGAGCATCTGTTAGTGAGGGAGGGTCTGTTGGTCAAGATGTTGTCCAGAGTGTTGTCCCCCCTGGTAGGAAAATTGACCATTTGCTCAAGGCCAGCTGTATCAAGTAGGTTCAAGAAGGAATCATTTATAGCCAGTGTGTATTGATGGGAAGCGACACTGTAGGTTTCCCAGGTGATATCTGGTAGGTTTATATCAACAGCAATCCAAACTGCTGCACCTGGGTTACCTTGGCACAGATGACTGATGGCGCTATTGAGATCCTCCATATACTTGAGGTCATTTTTGGGAGGTCTGTACACAGATGCTAGTACAATGGTCTGGTTATCGTTGATGATCTTCGCAGCGACAATCTCTGCATCTGACTTGATGGTAATCAGGTGGCTATTAAGGCTGTTGTGGACGCCAAGAAGTACACCTCCGTAACCGTCCCTGCGATCACAACGATAAATGTCATATCCAGGTGGGAAAACTTCTCCATTGGCGATGTTTGGTTTCAGCCATGTTTCGCACCCAAAAACAACATCTGGCTTGGTAGCGTCAAGAACACTCCAGAATTCTGCACGCTTTGAAAAAATGCTCTGGAAGTTCACTTCAAGTAGGCGGAGATTCTTGATAGTTTGGTTGCTATTTCTTTTGTTGGGTGATGATTTGGCGAGAGGGGAACCTGGATGGTGAGAACTGGTGGAACTCGTTGAAGAGTGGGTCTCAGAGTTTGTAGCGCTGTAATTGGACTCATCTAATATTGTTGAGTCAAAAAGCCCAGATGAAAAGTTGGGTAAACCACAGCGATAACACTCCCAGGGGAGATCACTGCGCCCAAGGGTATCAAGGGCAGAGTCTGTTAGGCCCACGCAGTCTGAATGAAACCACACTTCACATGATTCGCACAGGATGCTGGCTTTAGCACCTTTATAGCTGGTGCAGGCCCTGGTACACTCTCCGCAGGGATACTTAGGTGTGCGGGGGCCAGGGTTGCGTTCAATATCACCAGCAAGCAGAAGTTGTTGATTTAGGTAGCAAAATGCTAAGTTCACAAAAATAACAATATAAATCATGACTGAACATGATCTGTAGTGCAGTCTGTAGTTTACATGTACACAACAATGTGAGGTCAATCAGGTCAAATCAATGTCGACATGGTCGATGATCATGACAATGATGAATGACATTGACAAAGATAAAAGAAACACAACAGCAATGGTATATCATTGTATTATGAAGCAGACACGCAGGAGGGTTGTTGACAGCCAGCATGCATGAGGAGCAGTTATACAAATGGAGTATGCAGGCAAACAATGATGCACGATGATAATAAACAAGGTATACAGGTATACATACAGTTAGTCGGCAGGATGTAGATATAGCTGGCTACTGAGTTTGACTCGATGACAATCAAGAGATTGTGAAGAAGCACACAAGGAGGTTACCAATCACTCGAAGGATGTCAGAAATCAACATATGAAGAGACAATACCAGGAAAAAGCGGCCGAGTAGACACGCCGATCGCTCTCTTCCGCTTGTTTTGTGACGTTGTGTACACGTTGTAACGTACGTGCCGCTTCTTCACATGGGCGCCATTTTGACGATGAATAATCACGTAAAGAGGTGATTTGGAGGGAAAATCCAGGTGGACACAAGTTCCAGAGGTGTTAAATCACTCGATATGATAAAAGAATCCGACAAATGATAAGACAATCAAGGAAAAACTAGCAAAGAAAATACGATTTCGCCCGAGAAAACAAATTTCGTGTTGTCAGACACAACGCATGCCAGACACAACACAACGCATGCGCATGCTAAAAAGATACTGGGCACATCTTGCTCAAATTACAACTGATCAGTGCAGAGCAATTCAGCCATACTCTTAATTTAATAGCGACCCTGCACATATATATTTCCATTCAAAAACACATTTTCGGTCAAAAAATCAAAACTTTTCGGTCCAAAAGCCTAAACAAGCCTTACTGCGCAATGTCGCGCACAACGCAGAAGTATCGGTGTGGTATGAATTTAGGACTATGAAATACTGACCCACTATTAGTATTGCGCATGCCTAAATGAGGACAACCAATAAAACGGTGCTGGCACTGGATTTCAAATGAGTCAAAATTTCATGTGACACTGAAAAGTGTTTAAGACCAGCCAGTCATGTCTTTTCAACTGTTTAAAATCGGCCACATGATGGGCTCTTTATCAATAGGAATGGGTAAACTGTCTCAGGTATTTATGAAATATGCATTAACACTACGAATAACACAAAAAAATCAGTAGCATAAACATGATCCGTAGCTCTGAGTATTGTGCTAACATGAATTAATAAGTAAACAATTAACGAGCATTCTTTTTACGCAAAACGTGCAAATACATGTTCTAATTTAAACAATGCATTTTTTATAACGATAATTATGGTAAAGAGGCTTAAGATGCACTGTCTCTGATCATCAACACATATTTATCTGTTCTAACGAATTGCCAACTTGTTTGTTTTTGTTTAAATGCAAAAAAAACCGTTGTTTCTGTTTCGGGAGTTTGTAAAAGCAGATGAGCTCTGCGGGTAGACTGATTTCTGGTCCTGACATCATTGTCTCGGGTAAGAAAGCGAGAACCAATCTACAAGCCAGAGCTGGATTACTGTTGGTCCAGCAAATAATGGTCACAGGGCACCATCTTTTGTTCATGCAAAGCCGGCAACAACTATTTTTTTATGCAACCAAGTATAGTCAATGACCATAATGAAGTTGAAACATAGCACGTGAACGACTTGTCACCTAATAAGGAATAAGTTCTTGTGGCTTATATTCCACGACGGTCGGCGTTGGCTCGCTGTGGCGTGTTTGTTGAATCGCTGATCTGAATGCTGGAGGTTCCAGGTTCCATTTCTTGAGGGGATATTAGAATTTTATTTTACCCCAAAAAGTGAAATGTGTTCCCTAAATTGTGTTTAAGGAAATCCTGATGATCGATAACATTACATTCAGCCTTTTCTCCTCATTCGTGGCTCTTAGAAGGCTTTTTCTTAAAGGGAAATTAAATTATTGCCCGCCGACACCGGGTCCATATATCGTACCAGGACAGTACATCTTTAACTTTACATCTTTAAGCTCAGGAAATTTTTAAACTCATTACACTTTTCTAGCCTTCTGTGTATCAAATGCATTCTTTCGTAGTCTTAGTTCAAGGAATCAAACCAAATCTGACTAAGTGACGTTACACATGATTCATATTTGCAATTTACAACAATTCTGAGTTCATATGGTAATTATTGTATCTATATGAAATCAAGAATTCCTCAAAACTGCCTTCGTCATTCGTGGTGAGACTAAGACAACTACAATTGGAGACTTTTGAGACGTTGGTGGCTGCAAACACACTGGTCCTTTTTTGCAGTTTCAACCATTAACGTTTTGATCAACAAAACACCCCTCTAGCTATACAAGGCTAAGGTCTTATGGTAAACAACTCCTTATATGGAGATTGATGCGCATGTCGCGCGTGCTGCAAGATGTGTACTGGTGTAGTGAAAATTGATACTGACTCACTGGTGGTATTGCGCATGCCTACGTGAGGATTGTAAGCGTTCAACCAAAAGACCAGCCAGCCATGGCTTTATCAACCGTTTAAAATCAGCCACGTGACGGGCTCTTTACCAATAGGAATGGGTAAACTGTCTTAGGTATGTATGAATATGCATTAACACTCTCATTAATCACACTCTCAATAAAATCATTTAGCAAAAAATAAAATAAGTTAGCACAAACATGCACGATTAGTAGCTCTGAGAATTGTGTTAACATGAATTAATAAGTATACAATTAACACGAATTCTTTGTATGCAAACAATGTAAGTATTGTGTACTAATTTGAATAATGCATGGCTAATAATGATGGCAATTACGGTATAGACGCTAAATATGATGCGTAACTCTGAGTATTATGTTAACATGAATTAATAAGTATACAATTTACATGCATTCATTTAATGCAAACAATGTAAGTACATGTGTACTTATTTGAATAATGCATTGCTTATAATGATGACATTTACGATATAGACGTTAAAGATAAAACTGTCCGTGATTGTCAACACATATTTATCTTTTCTAACGTTTTTCAACTTGTTTGTTTTAATTTTAAGCAAAAAAAAATACGTTTTTCCTATTTTGGGCGTTTGAAAAAGCTGATGAGCTCTGCGAGTAGACTGGGTTCTGGTCCTTATATCATCGTTTCGGATAAGAAGGCGGGAACCAGTCTTCCAAGCCAGAGCTGGATTACTGTTGGGCCAGCAAATAGTGGTCACAGGGCACCATCTATTGTTCATGCACCGCCTGCGAAAATTATTTTTTTATGCAACCAAGTAAAGTCAATGACCATAATGCGCGTGCGTGAAACATATCACGTGAACAACTAAATATGTCACCTGATTAGGAATAAGTTTTGTTGGCATATATTTTACGACGGTCAGCGTGATCTTGCTGTGACATTTGCGTTAAATCGTTGATCTGAATGCAGGAGATTCCAGGTTCAATTCCTGGAGGGAATTTTTGATTTTATTTTTCCCCAAGAAGTGAATTTTTTTGTTGGGGAGGATATTTCTTAAGAAGAAGTTAAGTCCAAGAACCATTCCGCTATACCAACTGGCGCATGCGCATGATGGTCATTGACAACACGGCTGCAATAACGAACAGTACCAGGACAGTACATCTTGAACTTCTCTGTTCTTATCTTTAGCTTATCTAAACTTTATACATTTTTTTTAATTCATCACCTTTCTAGCCTTCTTTGTATCAAATGCATTCTTTGTATTCTTCGTTCAAGGAATCAAACAAAATCTGACTAAATGACTTTACGCATGATTGATCTTTACCATTAAAACAATTCTGTGTTCATGTGGTAAATTGTGTACCTATATGAAATCAAGAATTTCTCAAAGCTGCCTGCGTCAATAACACGATAGAGAGATAAACTTCGTGGTGAAAAACTAATAAAACTACAATTGGAGGCTTTTGAGACGTTGGTGGCAGCAAAAATGCCGATAATTTTTGATTGCCTCATATTGAGCCACCGACGTCTCAAAAGTATCCCATTAAATTATGCACCTTACACTCAGCAGCCATATTGTGGGTATGTGGTTTTGTTACAATAATTCACGCTGTCATTGTGGGACATAAACATGCACCTCAATTAGGGATGCAGTGCAAAGGATTAGCTGCGGAGATTCGAACCTCAACCCACGGATTCAACAGAAGAGAGTGCAATAATAACAACCTTACCCCGGGTCGAAGGCTCACAAAGTCAAGCGAGCTTAATCGGTGATTCGAGTCTCATACGCCACGTCTCCTGAGATGTAGATAGGATTATCTATGATCTGTTGATCGGTTGGTGAAGTGGGAGCAGACGAGGAGATCGCGTCCGCCTCGGTAGACTTAGCAGCACGCTGGGTGAGCTCACGGCATGAACAGCAACAGACACGCTTCATACACGGAGCAAGAGCTGCCCGAGCCTCGTCGCGGCGAAGACAGAACATGACAAACACAACAACGCCCTGTCAAAACCCACAAAGACAAACGAAAAACCAAACTCTTTAAACTGGATCTTCGTCACTTTTTGTGTTGCTATTTTGTAGACATACCCATCTTTACACCACTTGTTTGTTGGTTGGTTAGGCTGTTTGTTCGCTTGTTCTTTTAATTGGCAGTAATTTAACGACACAATTTTGTGAGTACCTACGCGAATGCTGCTCTGATACAAACTAAATGACATCTGTACAATTTTCATGTTTTAGATTGTTGTAAACATACTAATTTGCTTCTGTCAGTAAACCTGATTTTTTTAAATGTGGGGACCGATACATATAGGCGGTGTTAGAGCGCCTTAACATTTGGTCTGTTACGTAAACAATACCTGCAAGGAGTTGGCAATGCAGAAGATGAGCTGAAAGACGAATGTCGCATCACTGATCGCCAGGAACCCAAAACACCAGGTCAAGCCCAAGAGGGTGGAGATTGCCACGGCATTCTGGAGGCGTTTAGAGATCTGCTGGGAGCGGGATGCCTCCTGGACCTTCAGGATACTGCGCATGACCAAGATGAAGGTGATGATGTTGTGGATGAGGATGAGAGCAATGGGAGCAAGAAGGCCGAGGTACAGCACAAGACCAGGCTCAAGGAAACAACTGAGAAAATAGGAGACACATTGCGATGGTGAAAGACAGCTCTAGATTATTGTTTCATACCTCATTGTTAATTTAATTGTTTGTTTTTCTTCATAATTCTATACCACCATCCCTTGCTAAAGTCTCTACACTTACTAGTGATCATTCTTGTACTGATTCAGAGCCGTTGCCAAGGTTACTGCTAGAACTATAGCAGGAAATCCTGAAGAAAAAAAACGTAACCAAAGATGATATTAGATACTTTAATTGTCGAATTGACAGCGAAAGCAGCATTTCAGAATAATGACAATACCATTGGTTACATTTGTTGAGCATGAGCACGACTAATTAACAGTCGCACAGTAATATTGTCGCCAGTTGCCAACGAATTTCGTCCGAAACGTTGGTTTATTTTTTACTCAATTTCATCTCAATAAATTGCCTTGCTATTTCTAGCGAGCAACGAAAACAAAGTATCGGATGGAGACTTACCCCAGGCGACGAGGCAAGCCTTGAGCATGTATCGAGGCGAGTCTTCTGGAAACACCTTCACCGTACCGACGTATATGTTCCTGGCTTCAACGGCCATCCACATCATAGTCGAAAGAGGCAAGTAGTGGAGTAAAGCAGCCACAAACACACACACATTGCCCTGGTCACGTAGGGGAGTATCAGTGATAATTATCATAATTATATAAGTGATTTATTTTGAGACTTAAAATCGCAATAATTGGAGTCACTTTCTCAAAAAGAATTATTTGTTTTACAATGTATTCATATATAGTGATTAATTTTAATATCCAAATCACGATTTTTTTTTTGCGTCACTTCCTTGAAAAATCCCTTCTTTGTTTTACACTGCCTTCGACCGTTTAAAAAGGGTTGAAATTGCCAAAAATAGTTTCAAAATATTTTTAAATTAATGTTGTACTTCCAGGCACTTCAACATTTTGTTTCACTGGACAAAACGCCCTTTTTTAATCTGAATATTATCATAGGTATTTATTTGGCAAATGAAGAACCAGAACCTTGCCACTCTGTTTTCTTTGTGATTGTGAAAAAAAACAGGTGCGAATAGCGAATAATGAATTGAAAGAACGCTAACCTTTGCATTATCCACACCAGCGAGGAACACGATGTACAATGCCAACAAAGAACAGCAGAACTGAAGAAGGATCTGCCGAGTCTTGCCCTGGCGTAGTTTCCTATGGTATTACAATTAAAAAAAAATTGTGAAATTTGGGGATTATGGCAAGCTGTAATCGACAGGTGGAATCGCAACTATCACTGACATATTCCGTTTTATTTGACTTTGAAGACAAACATGAAACAAATATTTGCTTACTTTATGAAAAGGTGTATGATCAGTGTGATCACCAGAGCAGCAATAGATAAGGCGCAGCCAACTTGACTGATGATGTCCAGCGCTAGTCTCGCTTCCGGGCTACCTTCGTCAGGTCTTTGACCTCTGACATCCTACAGAAACAAATGTAATAATGCAATTGATACCATATAACTGCTGCATGCAAATCCAAAGAAATTTTGGAATTTGAAGTTGTTTAGCTTTTACTTCAAAAATTATTCAGTTGCTTATTATCAACCCAGAAACAATTTCGTTACAAGTTGTTAGCATATTATGAGTAAGTTACTACACTTCTTTGTACATGTCGTAAGCCATATAGGCCTATGTCAAGACGTTGACCCGAAATTCCAACTATTAAGTAGGAATTTTATAAATCTTAGCTACATAATTTATACTCATACTACAAAGACATTTGACTCAATCTGAGACAAACAATTTTGGCGGCAATTATGTTTTTCCCCCAAAAAAGGTACGCACCATAATGATAGCGAAATTAGTTGCATGGTTACATTCGCAAGTCGCAGTTTCATTGGTCAACTCTTCGAGTTGACAGCCAGCATTCGACCAATCGCCGCCACTGTCTCCCGATTCAAAATCCCAGGAGCACACTGGAAGTTGCTCAGAACCTCCTCCGAGGTATTGTTGGGAATCTGTAAGAGTCATACGAGACATTCTCTTAAGAGAATCAAACTCGTCGTGTAAATGTTGCATCAGACATCAGCTCACTGATATCACAAACATAAACGCGATAATAATAGTACCGGAGTCTTATATAACGCACGTATCTTCCAACAATTAAGTTCTACTCAATGCGTTGAAAATTACGTCTATTATTACAGACTGGTAAATTCAGTGTATGAGAAATGAGACCGATTATGTAGCACCTTATAAGGGTTTACAAGGTGCTGCGGTACATATTGCAGCAACTGCCTGAAACACAGGAGCGCCCCCTTCTCTTAGAGATAAGTTATACTAGGTTCTTTGACGTGCATTACACAACACACTGGACCTACGGCTAATTTACGTCCCATCCGAGGGACGGATCAATAATGGTAAATTGCCTTGCTCAAGAGTACAAGCACCATGTTCCCACGGTCAGGATTCAAACCCATGTACCACGGCACACGAGTCGAACACCGTAACCATTGGACCACAGCACCCCACAGATATGACATGACGTCATTTTTTTCAATCCGTTTCATATCTGCACTTTTTACTCTCTATCAATGCTCTCACCGAGTTGTTTTACCTTAAATTCGATCACCACCAGGTCCGTAAGATTCACCAATTCAACATTCTCCACAGTCAATGATAGGACAGGAGCAGCAACTCTCCGTTCAGAGAGATTTTTCTCATTATACTCTCTGAGCAGAGCTGACCGAAACAATGTGTCATCACCATAGATCAAGAAACTAGCCTGCACCTGCGTCGCACTGTTATCTAAGACAGATCAATACCAGAAAATGCATAAATACATTTTACTTTTTTTCCACTGTTAGATTAGCTGTGATTTGAAGATGACATATAGCAAATTTTTGCTTCAAGACATATCTTGCGCATATAGCTCAAAGGCTTTAGTGAAAAGTTTTAGCTAAGAGAGATCCATACAATGTAGCAAGAAATACATGAACAAATTGCACTTTTATCCCACTGTAAGTTTATCTGTTATTTAAGATGACAGATAGGAGACAAGTGATTGAGGTAAAATATCTTGCTAAAAGACATATTTTGCAGCTCAAAGCTTCCGATGAAAAGTTTTAGCTAAGAGAGATCCATATACAATGTGCCAAGAAATACATGAACAAATTGCATTTTTAAGTTTATCTGTGATTTGAAGATGACAGATAGGAGACAAGTGATTGAGGTAAAATAGCTTGCTTAAGGATAGATCCTGCTCCTACAGCTCAAAGCCTTTGATGAACGTTTTATCTCAGAGAGATCAATCAAAAAAGAAAATAAATAATAGTTTCACTATTGTTCCCACATGAAAGCTTATCTGTGATTTGAAGATGACAGATAATAGACAAGTGATTGAGGTAAAATAGCTTGCTTCAGGACATATCTTGCTCCTATAGCTCAAAGCTGTTGAAAATTTTTACTCACTAGTAGACTCCAGCAACTGAACAATATTCTCTGGTAACTGAATAGATGCCACCACATCAACATCGTCAGGAATCTCGCTGGTGTTCGGAAACACTCTGACATGGGTACCAGCGAGTGTGGTCTCTTGTGATGACTCCTGTTGGTCACGTGACTGTATGGAGGCAAAAACCAATCCACCGTTGGCCTCCGTTGTGTCCCAACTTACCGCCTCGACGTGTATGGTGTCCTGACATATACTGACGCTACTTTCTTGTCTCAGAGTCAAGGAAACCTGATTCTCGATGGACTGGACGATTGATGAGGAGTTAACGGCATTCAGAGAGGTAGGGTCTGCCTTGATGACGTTATGGACAGTCTCAACAACTAACTCAGTCACCTTGAGGAAAATGGAAATAAGACCCTCTAGTGATCCAGAACCAAAAAGCTGGTGATACAGTTGCGACAAATGGCGTTTTTAATTTGCAACGTGAAAATTAAACAGACGATCGACACAATTGGAAGTGAACAGATAAGCATCGATCTATTGCAGGTCCCTGGTACGAGTCGGCCCAATTTCTGAATTCTCTTTGGACTAATACATTTCGGGATCAAACTGCCACTATTGCAGGTGAAAATGACACTGGTATGAATCCTTTTTTCCGGGTCAGTGACCCGCAAATCGTGCTAAAAAAAGGCCATTTTAACCTTGTAAAATATTATTTTGACCCGGAAAATGATCGGATCAAATAGAACTTGAATATCGAGTCAGATCTGACTGGTGACTTTTAGAGTGTCTTACAGGCCTTATGTCGGAAAACACAAAGAAACACGGTTTCCATTTCAGTTATGATGAAAATACAACCTTAATTGCAACTAAGACATTTGTGATATTGTTTTAATAATTCGACTAAATTCCTCGTTTTACCTCTAGCTCTCCCGATCCAACGCCAACAACGTTCATTAAAATTGTGGAAATGGCTTCAAAGCTCTCTGTGTCACTGGGAATATTCGTTGTTTGATTAGCAAGAAATTCTGCAACCTCAATCACATTACCAACACCAACTTGGACCTACGAACAAAACAAAAAGAACCATAAGAGTGGAAAATAGTGAAATTCTTATCACGGTTCCATTTTGTACGCAAAATAGTAAGTGCCAATAATGACGTATAAGCTTCGCAAAAATGAAACTCTTCAATAAATTACTCATTCATTTTACCTTTGCCAAATTGTCCAGTGTGATGAGGTCACCACAACTGCGCGCTTTATAGTCTTTCCATTCTGGAGGCATAGAAGTTGAGCAATTCCTAACTGCCAAAGCTTGTCCAGCTGGAAGGGAAAGTATCAGTTAACAAACGTGAGTCTTTCTGCCTCTACTTGTTTCGTTCCTGGTTCGAATCCCGCCTGAAGCATCACGGGGTTTGAGTTTCCATTGAACTAGGTTGTCTCTGCCCCAGCTGAATTAAAGTTTTCCCAGAAAGAATCCTTGGACCATTGCTCATAAGAAAAAAAATCTATAATTTCTCGACTTCTAAATAAATTGCTGCGAGGACCTTTCATTTTGCTCCGAGTTAGATTCTCTGCAAAGAGCTCTCTCAAGGAGGAGTGAAGAAGGCTTTTGGGTTATTAGAAATCTGTATCAATAAATATGCAATATTACAGAGGAAGAACGACGTTTCCTGAGTGAGGGCGCTCTATGCAAAGGGTGCACATGTAATCGTTCCTGAAGTTTCCCAGGCCTGTTTTACTCTTTTCAGAGTCGTGAACTCAACCTAAACTTTTTTGTTTTGCTTAAGAATTACGTACCATTCATTGTGTTCAGTGGACATCTCTGGACAGATTCTGCTGTAGAACCCGCTCTTGTAAAATGCCAGGTGAGTCGGTCACTAGACTCCTCACGTGGACAGCCATTATCTGAAGTACATACAATTCGGCTGAGCGTTACAGCTTTCCCTTCAACATCAGACTTTATTGCATGCATTTTTTTTTTCTGATGGTGCAAGTTAACCGTATCATTGAGAGTTAGGCTGGAGTCCGGCCTCATGCATGAACGCATACGGGTAACAGCATAACAGCTTTTGAGATTTCTCATTTGCATTTCTAATAATGTTTTTCTTCCTCTTAATTCAGCATGCGTACCCAGCAAAGTCATGCTATCACAATAATTGACCTGCTAACAAAGGACTGCTCAGTCAGTTTTGATTCAAGTCTGATTTCATACTCACCTCTTTTGCAGCAATAATTCAGTGCTCTCGTGCAGATCAAATCATTCCACCTTCCACCTCTCCACATTTGAGTGCAGTCCTCGTTATTGTTAGCATCATTGGGCTCTGATCCAGACCAGTTGGTGTAATTCTGAGTTAGAGTAAAATAAAGTATACAAATAAACGCCTTTGCAACTCAGCAATATAACAGCTATTAACTTTCAATGACACATTGAAAAAACAATCATCGACATATATATATATATATTGATTATAATCTTCACCCGTTTTTTTTTACTGAATGAAATTTCACGATAATGTACTTCGTAATTTTAAGAATTTCAAAGAGATTGGAGGCGTGTCTGACCGTTAGGCATCAGTAAATCACTGACGAAATAGAACGACCGAAGCATTTAATTGAATTAGAAAACAAAATGTTGTTCAAGACAAATTTCCCAAAAGTAGAACAAATTAGAAAGCTACATGGTAAATTTCACTAAAATGAAATCTTTTGGTGCCAAGTGTGTAACTGAATGAGTTGCAATTTTACATAAAGATGTTTCAATGTTGTACTAGACCGTCATCAGTATTCATTACCGTGATTACAACGAACCTTCTCCGTCCCGTCGACCCAGACAAATGTTCCTTCTTGTTTCTTATCATTCAGCCCAATCCATCCAAGTGAATTTCCTGAAAAAATTATGTAAAGGATTCATAATTATGTGATGTCTCAAAAGTTTTAATACGTTATACAGCTCGACAGGCCTCAGTGAACACAGTCCACTGTTTGAGGGGAAATCAAAGCTATGTCTTAATCGTATTAGTGCCTCTTAAAATTTGATTGAGTTTAGTGATTGCTGAGCTGGCAATTGCCGGTGAACATTACATTCAGTCAGTCAAACTGCGACTTTAAATGTCAGCCAATTCAACTCTGCAGGGCGTCCTGAAAAAAAAATGGTACATGTAAACCCCTGTCAGCGTTGTCCCAGCAACACGCGTCACTTAGATGACGTATACATCTTGGTATTACTCCAGTGACTGGCACTGGAGAAACACCAGGACTCTGGTATCACTGTAACTCCGGCTCGGAGTAGGAGAGTTAAGTGTGCGTTTATGAGAAGACCATGCAAAATCTTGAAAAATCGACAAGGTGGGGGGTCAGCGAATTAAGTTCAAATCTTGGCCATTTGATCCCCACCTGAGACGATACCACTCGGTGGAGTAGCTCGATAAATAATCACACGGTGGCCGAGTACGGGGCACCGACAATTTTGAGCAAAAAAGGGTGACTTCCGGGGAGTAAATTTGTGTTGCTTCTGGTGTAAATTAATAGCCTTGTGTATTCCCTTGTGTATTCCCTCTGATATGCAAGCATTCCCTGCGGAGATATAGGCGTAAGAAAAACACGTATCAGCTCTATTACGAAATGAAGTCCTTTACGCGGTAAACCATAACTTAATTAATGCAGGGCTGAGAGTCAACAATCTTAGAGGAAATATAGTTAAGATTTCCGACTACAATAATAAAAAATAAAAAAAAAAACTGTCAGCTCTTCTTGTTTTTGTTTGCTCACGGTCAACAAAGTTGAACAATTCCTAATTTTCAAGACCAAACCTACAAAGCCCCCTAGATAGTTCCGAGTGCAATTGGTTGCCCTTAATTGACATTTTGCAGGAATTGTTGTAAGAGCGTTACTAAATCTACATTTTGCAGACTTCACCTATTGGGTGGGTGGGTGAGTGGGCTACCTTTGGTGGTGCGCACTGATCTGGTAGAAGGGGGACGTCCTGTTGCCGCCCACCCAGTTAGCGCGGTATCAAAAGAGGGCGCCCTTGCATTACATCACCGTCAAAATGGCAGCCATGGACATGCCGTCTGTGCGGCTGCAGGGTGTACGCCTGTAAATAGGCCAAAAATCCGTCCGCCGAACTCATGAATAAAAGTTAGACCCTCAAAATATTCTATATTAGAGAGTTCTGAGAACCATGGAATTGGGGAATTGAAGACATGTGGCACTGAACCTCTGGCCAGGACTGGGAGCTTCAAATTCTGAGCATTTTGGATGCAATCAGGCCCGAAAGTGGCGCTATTTAGCCATGTTGTGAAGGGATTCTTTTTCAAAATGGCTACTTTTCCAGTTTGGGAAACATCATTCGTTTTAGGGGTGCTTTTCTTTGGTGAGAATATCTCAAAAAGTCAATGGTCAACCCACCCAAAATTGAAAAGAAAATGAAAGATGACATGTTGATCATCATTTTTCTGTGCAGCTTGAATACCTGTGAGAGTTCTGAGTATTTTTAAATGAGTTTTGAAGTATGGGCATTTAGCACTAGTGCCTATGGGAATTTTATTGCAGGCGCGCACCCTGCAATGTGATTTTAGTAATTTTGAGTATTGCAAAGCCATCGAATGTGGTGTAAATCCCTCTTATCCGCGCGAACTAAATACAGTGCAACTTAATCGATGCACAAAAGACATACGGAGCCATTTGCAGAAGTGGAAAGTCGCTGCATATAATGTGAATGTCGAGTGGAAACTGATCCTCCTGCGATGTGGTTTGTTCGACGTCGATGCATACACTGATAAGAACAATATGTCCAGCGCAGCCATAGATACAAGTTAGGGTTGAGTTGGACATCATCAAGGAAATGTTGTCATCCACTTCATAAAGGGAAAGGCAAACCATTCCGTGGTGTGAATAAAGCAACTAGCCGTGAGATGTTTGATCGATGGGGTATCCTGATCACAGTTGGAACAGGTAAGAAGACAGAATTCAAACAAAAACACATTTCTGAAATGAATCAATCATGGTCATATGGTCCATTTCTGATCAACTGATTTTGTTTCTGGCTAGGTTATATCAATTAAATCCCTTATCATGCAGTTGACTTGGGACCAGTGAAATGTATTATTGTGTGAAAAATTAAAACTGGTTGTCACAGCTCTGGACCACACACATGGTTTTCAGCAGTGGACACACATGGTGGATATTTAGCCATTTTTTGATTAGCCAAGATTTTGATAGTAGTACCCGTTCTAATTTTTTTAATTTTTAAATTACATCCATTTTTGCAGTAGTGGTTCCATGTTCTCTTCCTTTACATATTTTGTGTTTAAACAAAGGGTTATCATGGTTTGTTATTGGAAGACAGTGACTGTTCTTGTTTTTTAATGTTAGACTTTGTATGGATTATACAGTTGGCTTTTTTTCCTATCTTTGGCGAAAAAAATCCAAATGTTGGTCTAGTAGTTTCAGTTTGAGTTAATTTAAGAAGGAAACAGATTTTCTTGATTTATATTCAATTGTTTTTTTGGAGTTTGATCATTAGGTCGTTCCATGTGTCATTCTATTTTGATACTGTGTTGGTTCAATTTTCTTCTTTCAACTTCCATTTAAGTTTAAAGTTCAATTTAGTTTTGTACAGTTGACTCTCGTTATAGCAAGGTCGGTGAGACCGCCCAAACTACCTCTTTAAATAGAAATGTTGCTAAAAAGACAGCGAAACAAAGAAACACAAAGCAAAGAGAACTAGAAATTTGAGACTTTGCTCTTTATAAGCAGAAGCAGGACATCTTTATAAAAGTGCTCTTTATAACAAAAATCGACTGTAGTACTACCATTTTTCTTATTTGGTTGTGGGGATAACAGGTCTAAGGTTTAGGAGAAAATTAATTTGGATCCTTTTTGATTATTGGGGTTTTTTTTAATGGTTTTCTTCAAATTCTGGTTGGTAAAATAAATCATTATTTTTTGTTGTCTTTCCAAAAATGTGTTTGTCATTGTTTCTATTTATTCAAATTATCTAGGTCTATCTCATTTTTGACAGCGAGTACCCCCAACATTTAGCGTTTTTTTTCATTCAATTTATTATTTTCCAAGTTTTTTTAATTTTCCGGGTTACATTAACATGCCAAAAAAATAATAGAATTGTCATCCAAGCCTCATCATTCCAACATTTGGTGCGTGATATGTGGCAGGGTGTCCCCCCCCCCCCCCCCTCACCCCCATTGTGTCTTTATTGTGTTCTGGTAAACTCAGGAATTCTTTAGAGGATTATTGGGGGATACTTCTGTTAACAAAAACGCAAGTGTGAGTTGAGTATAGGAACATTTGTGGGGACTCCCTCTGCCACAAATCGGGCAGGGTATACATTCCATCCTGGACTCTGAAAGGTGGCGGCCATATTGATTAAAGTGAACCCCCCTACCCTAAACATGGGATAAATTAAGGGTTTGTGGCACCCCTAATGGCGTCTCCAGTATTAAAATAGGTTTTAATTATATTTATCATGAAAAAATATACACGTTTGCCATTTTTTATAACATTCAAGCAAACAAGACAGAAATTATGAGAAAAATACATTTTTTGACCAAAAAGGTGCCAAAAAAACACATTTAAAACGCCCTCTATTAAAGATTTTTACAAATACTTTTGACGTCATTATCTACAATTTGGAAAAATAAAACTTGGTGGCAAATTTCATGAAAATTGGTTGTCGACTTTTAAAAATACAGAAAGGGGGCCTCCCCTGTCCCTTTACTAACGAAAAATAGGGGTAAAACAGGCTCCTGCCATTTCACACTAAAAACTGCTGACAATGTTTTTATCATTGATACTTAAAGACCATGATGAGAACTCTCTTTCACCTGAGTGTCATTGTTCAACGACCTGCACTAATGACGCTACGGCGACTTAAAGATCGCTATTTCTATGACTCAACTTTGGGGGTACCCTTTGTGCCGTTGCCTCCTAAGATCATTTTTTTTCAAAATTTAGAGTTCCTGGTTTAGGTCAGGATACAACCTCAAGAACCTGCAAATGTCATTGCTCTGCTGCTTTCCCCAGTTCAGCTGCAAGCGTTTAAACTTTTGTACCCCAAAATCATAAAAATCACCATTTTTTCACTAAACAATCCAATATTTGGATCTTTTTTTTCTGCTACGGAGGTCAGATTGGCCAAATATTAACCTCAAGGCTACCTAGGACCCACCTACCCCCCAAATTTTAACCAAATCCGCCAACCCCCACCTTTTCACGGTCTGCATGGTCCTCTCGTGGACATACTTTTAAGGCTAACAAGATCTTAGATGCTGAGTTTGCTGACGACATAGTTCTGGTGGCAAACACAGTAAAGGAGGCAGAGGAGTTACTGAAAGAGGTGGAGGAGGTATCTATAAATGTAGGACTGCGGATCAATAAGAGCTAAGTATCTGGTAGAGAACATACGGGTGCCAGAGGGGATCGTGAGTGTTGGTGGAAAGCCAATTGAATTGGTGGATGGCTTCCTGTACTTGGGAGCAAAGATCAGGAACACAGAGGAGGATGTTGTGGATAGGGTGAGGAAGGCCTGGGCAGCATGCCACAGCCTGAAGTCAGTATGGAAATCAGACCTTAAAAAGAGACTTTCTCAGATGGTTGATGGGTGCTACACTAGAATGTTGAGGATGGCTCTGAGCGTCAACCAGTACGCAACGAGAATGAGGAACTCGGAGCTGTACGGAAACCTTCCAAAAGTCAGCTCAAAAGTGACCCAGAGGAGATTGAAGCTTTCAGGTCATGCTCAAAGGCATCCAGAGCTCACACTACACTCAGTGGTCCTGTGGGAACCCCTTCATGGGGAGGCAAGAAGAAGGAAACCTAGGAGGACATATGTCGATTCATTAAGGATGGACACTGGTCTCCAGGAGACGCGAGACATCGCTGAACTCATGAATGACAAAGGTTGCTGGAAAGAACTTATCCGTGGATCTCGGGAGTTCTACCCGACTTGATTGATTGATTGATTGACATCTTGTGTATACATGTGTGTTTGTATCAGTAGTCCGAGTATATTGTTCGTGCGCGTTTTAAAATAAAATGCCAGAAAACGCCGATCGCGATCAAACTCACCGAGTATAGCATTTTGCTGACTGCAAGCATGCAAAATATCGCCGTAGACCGACTCTTGATATCGGTGATGAACTCCAAGAGTCAAACTGGACTTTGATCTGCCATCAGACCGTAAGTTTGCGGTTTTGATTCCTTTAAAAAAACATGACTGTTTCTGATTGTGTTACTTAGATGGCAGTAATATATCTTGGGCGTTACATGATATAAGGCGTTTAATGTAAATACCCTAGAGACATCGTGTTTCTTAAAAATGAAATGAGAATTTAGTTTTCTAGATTAATTCTCTGTTTTATATCTGGCTTAAATTGAGCGTTTATTGCCTTTTATTAGAAACCTTTAAATATGGCTCTATGATAAATTGGCGATCATTGAATAGTTTGATCAATTTTGATATAACTATTTACAATGTAAGGGTGTACGCATGTACTTCTTAAATCCGTAATTATAAATATTGAAGATGGCAAACTGGCTTAGCTAGAAGCCGTTTTTCCAAAGAGACCGTCGCTTGAGGCAGACAGGACCTGCGACAGGCTGACAGCAGCTACCCAGCGTCACCGCCGTCAAGCTGCTCGACCGTGACGCCCGGTTTCCACATCACCCGGCTGCCTACAACAGAGGCTCCGTCGAGGTGGCTGCGCACCGTCAAGCCAGTGGTCCAAGTGCGAGAGAGTACTCCACCCATGCACATGCCAACGCAAGTTGAACCGTAAACTACGGTGTGCCCTGAATATATTAAATAATTATTGCCGGCTTAGAGTAGGTTTAATATAATATTATTAAAGTTCATTTAATTTGAGATTTAACTATTTTGTTCTTGGTTGCTTCATTAAGTTCTTCTTAGCGTAGGTTAAACTTCTTTTGAGTTACTTTGGTTAATCTAAATAGATTTGGTTAATTATAAGTTCTATACTTAAAGCTGTTGACTTTTCTGCATTTAATTGATTGATCCATTTTCTTTACCTAAGGTTAGTTTTATACCCATCACTTGGATTTCACAGGCTCCTAGACCTTGATCGACATTGTTTATTGGGTCACTATCGCCTCATTCTGTAAATAATATTCGTAAGGATTTGTACATAATATTTGTAAAGATTATTCGTCGCCTGTAAATATACAGTAATTTGTGCACATTACATAATTAGAAATATACAGAACGTCTCTAAAAGATTTTCTTGGTGTTTGCACGAAGTTGTGGGTGGGAAAACCAGTCCCGAAAATTCCAATGCACTAATTTCTGGGGGCAGTTGTGACAACCCCTCCATTTTTGCTAATTTACAACCACAATTTTCAGTAAATGTTTACACCATCTTCACGATAATAGATTTAGCTTGAGAATACCGTTTGTTTCATTGAGATTGCTTTTATGAATCCAAAGCTATGTTTGAATAACGGCAAAGCCAAGAAACCCATTTTGTGCCACTTCTGTGAAGCAGTTAAAATCAGTTTAGTCCTAGTCTAAAACCAAATCACTTTACTGTTAGTGGTTTTAACATTTTTAAGCAGAGTGTGCAATAGATTAATATTGTATTGAACTCTTTCATTGAAGTTTTAAAGAAGTGAGCCTGTCTGTACTATTAAATTGTTTGAACATAACAACAAAACCCTATATTGTCGTGTGAATGGAATATGTTTGTCTTACACCCATAGGGATAATCTTATCCAAAGAGCCATACTGGCATTGTCTGATCTTGGATGAACTCGCTTCCTAAAAGTGGCACAGAATGTGGCTTTTTTTGGTTTTGCAGTTATTCAAACATATCTCTGGATATACAAAAGCAATCTTAATTAAACAAACGGTATTATCAAGCTAAATCTGTAACCTTGAAGATCGTGTAAACATTTACAGTAAATTCCGGTTGTAAATTGGCGAAAAATGGCGGGGTTTACATGGTCCATTATTTTCAGGACACCATGTATTCAAAGGTGATTTCTATCAACTTGTTTTCCTTGCCGTTAACGTTTCGCAAAGTTGTTTTGTACAATACCAAGGTTTGCAAGTCACGATGTGAACAAGGGCGCAGTTTGACATGTTTATGAAAACACCAGGAAGTTGAACAGTCAGTCTCCAGGGTTTAATACCTATACGTGTATGGAGTTTTCTGCTCGGTAAAAAAATCTCGCAATATATTTCCATCAAACTGTCAATTTACAACAAAGCTACTATACTCTTGGCGAACAGGACACCACAGGTCATACTTTTGTCAATGTCATTATGCACCTGTGCGCAAGGCACTGAATGGCACCAGAAACTGATGACGTTATCATTCCATCAATAACAATAATAACAATAATAGACTGTTTCTGCATTGCATATCAGGAGACCTGCTCCCACAATACCCGAACAAACTTCGCAATTTTTTTTTTAAGGTTTTGAAATTTTTGCCTTCCTTGTAGGCACATTCTTGGGGGAGATCTCGTGAAAAATACTGCTTTATCAATGAAAAGTATAAAAAAAAACTAAGAAGGAAGTCCCTTCTGTTTTAAGATTCCAAAGAACGAGTAATTGTTCTTCCTATGTCCTGAATTTCAGGCTACAGGCCTAAGCGATTATTGTTATGGCTGATATTGGTGAAACTGTTTTCATTCATACGTTCATTCTCAATGTATCCTTCCAGGTTCTATTAGGCCTGACACTCTCCGGGGTCTAAATTGATATCCTTACTTGTCACAACGACACTTTTGCCTGTATTTTGGGGTCAAAATGGACTGGAAAAAGAGTAAGAGCAGTGTCATGAATTCTGACCCTGAAAAATGTCCATTTGGACCAGGAGAGGTAACAATTCAGACCGGGAAAAGTCTCAATTTGGAGCCCGAAGAGTGTTAAACCCTGAAGAGTGTCAATTTGGACCCTGAAGAGTGTCACTTTGGACCCTCAAAACTTTCACTTTGGACCCTGACAAGTGTCAATTTGGACCCTGACAAGTGTCAATTTGAACCCTGAAAGTGTCAGACCAAGTAGAACCTCGATTCCTGGTCAACTCGAGTCTGACCCGGGACTTTTTAGAATGTAACAATCACAGCTCATAGTGAAATTAGTCAGTGATTGGAACTTGTCTGATGGGCCTCCTCATCCGAGTTAGTGAAAGTTAACGTTCCAAAGAAAATGTCAAACAAATTCGGAGAAAAAAAATATAAAGTTCAAGAAACAACTCACCAAACACAAAGCTGTTCTCTTCTCCACTGTGGATGCTTACAAGATGTGCCTGTTCCACTACGCATGCGCGTTCAGCGTCATCCCAACTCAGTCCTGGAGCAGACACAAACTTATAGCACATCCCAGTTCCATCAAACAGCATCCATCCAGCTTGACAAGCTGTTCCTAAAACAGTACGAACATTGAAGTCGTTATCGTACCCTATAGCGTACATGTTGTGCGATTTTGTTTTTGGCCAAACTCATGAACTCTGATATGTAATGTCAGTTTCAACCCAGCCAGCGAATCAAATTTTAGTGTCCTTGGGCAAGACACTTGACTGTAATTGTTTCTTCTTTGTAGAAGCAAAATAAAAAAGTCCTTATACTTGGTCTCGTATGTGACTATACTGGTCTCAAACAGTCCCCGAATTAGCTATGGAAGCATATAGTAGTCACAAAGATCTAGCAGAAATGGAGACTTACCAAGTCTTAATCCGGTGACGAAAAGTAAGCAAAAACAGGTTTGTGTCAGAGAGATCTGACGGTGTACTTTGCTCATTTTGTCGTTCATCATATTTTTATGGAGTTGGTCTACCAGGCTTCCACCATCACATCACCTTCAGGGCTAGTGATACAAATGCTGTTGGGTTTTCAAGCCAGAACGAGGAGGAAATACAAGGCTCAATATTCACGGTCTGGTGAGCGTATAACGCGGTAGCATAAAAAGAGCCTTTTCATGCTGTTACATTTATGTGACATAACCAATGCAGCTATTTTCATGTTCAACCAGAAAAAAAAAACCCAAACCCTTTCCCAAATGGCTATTTTTAGCAATACTAAAGTTATTCAGATTTGATCGACCGAAAACATCGGCCTATGTTAAGTTATTGAATTCATATCTTAAAACAGAAGGGACTTCCTTCTTAGGTTTTTTTTTTTACACTTTTCATTTATAAAGCAGTATTGTTCGCGAGATGTGCCCCAAAAATATGCCTACAACGAAGGCAAAAATCTCAAAACCTTAAAAAAAAATTGTAAAGTTTGTTCGGGTATTGTGGGAGCAGGTCTCGTGATATGCAATGCATAAACGGTTTATTATTGTTATTATTGTTATTGATGGAATGATAACGTCATCAGTTTCTGGTGCCATATTCAGTGCCTTGCGCACAGGTGCATAATGACATTGACAATAGTATGACCCGTAGTGCCCTGTTCCCCAAGAGTACAGTAGCTTTGTTGTAAATTGACAGTTTGATGGAAATGTATTGCGATATTTATTTTTACCGAGCAGAAAAATCCATACACGTCCAGGTATAAAACCCTGGGGATTTACTGTTTAGTTTCCTGGTGTTTTCATAAACATGTCAAACTGCGCCCTTGTTCACATCGTGACTTGCAAACCTTGGTAGTTGTCAAAAACAACGTTGCGAAAAAGCGTATATTTTCTACACGTATTGTCAAGGTTCACGGCAAGGAAAACAAGTTGATAGAAATCACTTTTGAATACATGGTGTCCGGAAAATAATGGACCATGTAAACCCCGCCATTTTTCGCCAATTTACAACCGGAATTTACTGTAAATGTTTACACGATCTTCAAGGTTACAGATTTAGCTTGATAATACCGTTTGTTTAATTAAGATTGCTTTTGTATATCCAGAGATATGTTTGAATAACTGCAAAACCAAAAAAAGCCACATTCTGTGCCACTTTTTGGAAGCGAGTTCATCCAAGATCAGACAATGCCAGTATGGCTCTTTGGATAAGATTATCCCTATGGGTGTAAGACAAACATATTCCATTCACACGACAATATAGGGTTTTGTTGTTATGTTCAAACAATTTAATAGTACAGACAGGCTCACTTCTTTAAAACTTCAATGAAAGAGTTCAATACAATATTAATAACTATTGCACACTCTGCTTAAAAATGTTAAAACCACTAACAGTAAAGTGATTTGGTTTTAGACTAGGACTATACTGATTTTAACTGGTCGTGCGTATTTCTGAAACCAGTCGCGACTGCCTTTCTTTAGTTTCTCTAATGATGATTTTTCCCGGCCTCCTGAACTCTATAAAGGGGAATATTCGCACTAGGTATTTCTAATGCTGATTTTTCCCCGACCCCTAAATTATAAAAGGGGGTTCGCGTGTGTTTCTAATCCTCGCTTTGCAGAATTTCGGCGGTGAAAGTATTCATAGAAAAACACGGGACCCCCTTTTCAGGATTTACGGGGTCGGGGAGTTATGAAATGAAATACACGCGACCCCAGTTTCAATATTGCGGCCGCACAATACCATTACAAATATTCGCAACCCCATCTTCAGAATTTAGGGGACATCCAAAATCATCATTTAAAAATACATGCGAACGACCCCCTTTTCTGAATTTAGGAAGTCGGGCAATTTTATCATAGGAAATACAGGGGACCCCTTTTCTAGGTTAAGGGGTCGGAAAATTGTATCATTAGAAATGCAGGCAGGCCCAGATTACCCAATAGGCACAGTAGGCACTGTGTCTAGAGCCTACGAAAATTGAGGGCCTGCGAAATACCAAAGTGTGCCATATAACACGTACTACCCACACAAGTGTGTATTATTTTGCCTGCAATCGAGGACCCCCTATTGTCCCTCTTTTGTTTTTACTTTTTAGGAAGACCTCCAATTATGTTTTCTACACGATCGCCAAATGTTTGTTCACGAGTAAATCAATGTGGCCTCCATTTCATTCTGTAAGCTCCATATACAGCTGATTCAATTACCCTAAACTCGAAAATGATCTTTAAATGATATGATGGCCAGAAATTGCTTCAGATCGCACCACATGTGCAGAGCGTCTAGAATCCAATTTTCCTGATAAGCGGGCCCCGAAGCCCCCGAACCACACGCCGTTTAGACTTCGGACTCAGGGAGTTCTGATCAAGATCAATATAATTATGTACCATCCCCCACTTTTTTAGAAGCGATTGACACCCTTGTTGCCAACAGGCTTTTAGAGCTATGACCTATACCAGTTTATCCTGGCTTGATTTGTACAGTGCTTTCTACATATATTAATAGCATCAACATGGATTTGGTGCCGGTGTAGCATGAATTTATGTTTTATGAAATACGGACTCATCGATGGTATTGCGCACGCTCATGCATAGATAATTAGGAGAGGGGTCGGTCACGTGTGAGGGTTTAACCAATAAAAGGGGAAAAGAGTCCGATTTTCATACGAGTCCGATTTTCATATGACATCGGTGCCTAGGGCAGAGTAGGCCTACGGAACACTGCTGCCTAGGGCCTACGAAACACTTAATCCGGGCCTGAATGCAAGTGACTCCCCTGTAAGTTCTGAGCTAAGAGGGTCGATCTGGCAATTTTATGGTAAGAAATACACGCGACTCCCCTTTTCTCAATTCTTCTTCTTCCAATTGCGTGCTGAAAAAAAAAATGTCAAGAAAATCCGCCGGGGGGGGGGGGGGGGGGGAGGGGCAAGCCCCCGCCTCTCTGATGGAGCGCGATTGAAGTTCACGGACAAAATACGACTATCTAACGACTTGTCATCAAGTCTTCCCGGAATACGGCTACAGTGGTATGACACAAATTCATAGTCTGGATATTTTCTTATATTTCGGAAATTTCTGTGAAATTTCCTCGAATTAATGAGTTTTTCTCAAAAACGTCTGGGACTTTTGTTTACTATTCCCTCAGAAATGTCCTTATATATATGACGTCAAAATGTCCTTGACAATGGAAGCCTGTTTGTGACCTATAACTGATCTGAATTAAAAAGTTGTGATTTTATCATTGTTTTGTGATGGAAACTTTTTGCCAATCGAAAGAAGCCGTTGAGCGATCCCTGCATTTTGGCTGACGAACATTTCCCATCATGCAACTGGTGATTCAAGATGGCGACCTCCTGTGTGCGTTTGCTGTTCGACGTGGCGCTGCACGGTTCATGCAGTTATTTGTGAATTAGGCCTATATAGTGAAGTCTGCAATGAAATAGGAAAGTTTTTATCTGTAGACAATTGAGACGTGAATTTTCAAGATGAAAATAGTTCTGATGGTGGCCGAAAAGCCTCAACTGGCACATTCACTGGCTAAGATTTTGTCTCGCGGCAATCTGCATTCAAGGAAAGCGTCGAATGGCGCGTGTTCTGTGCACGAATACACGGGCAGCTTCCGCGGAGAACCATGCAGATTCAAGGTAAGGATTCATTTGACAGAGGATCTTTAGGTTTTTTTTTTTTTATAGTACTTCTACATAGACTCGCTTGGGAAAGAATTGCGTACTGGGCTACCAAATATTACTAAATACTAGCCCCATAAATGTGGCCAATTTACTGGACTACCTCTGTAAATAAAGGCCACACTTCCACCATGTACAAAAACGTGTCGCACTTTACCAAATTTTGATTTTCACATTAAGGCTTAGTTTGTAGTTTATTTTTGCTTTAGAAGCATACTCACCCTCTTTATAGGCTAATCAGAAAGTGCTGCCTTTTCCAGATGTTTAATTTTCGTGAAATTTCATGTTGAAATTTTGATACGCAAATTATGTGTGCAAACGAATCTGGAAATATCACATGTGGGTTTGCTTAAAAGCCCTTGGAAAACACTGAGTACATGTACATGTCATGACATGACATGTACATGTACAATGTATAAAGTGCTTATAAATATCGGCAAAAATCCCCCCCCCCCCAATAAAAGCCCACTAAACTAAGCATCACTCAAACTTTGTACAGTGTAGACATAATTTGTGTTTTGAGAAATATCTCCTAATGTACCCCCTCCCCCCTCGATTTTGAATACACTTGAGTGTGGTGGCATTAGAGGGCAATAGTTATGTATTTTCCCAGAATGGCATGATCTGAGTCAACCTTGAGCGTGTTCATTGTAACAAAATAATATACATTGTAACAAAGAACGCCCTATAAGATACATACAACATACTACATGCAATACACGGTATATTTTTGTTTACTACTGTATTTGTTTGGTATAACTTCAGATCATTTGAACACAACATGGAATTCACGATTGTTTACATCATTTGATTCACTATTTGACAGTTTACCTCTGTGTGTGGTCATGTCATGGGTCTGGACTTCAACGCTCGATACAACAATTGGGACAGAGTTGACCCGGTGAGTTTGCTCGACTAATTCTCAACAACTTCAGTCCACTGATTTTTTTTTGTTCACAGTAACTCACTGTAAAGGGGTCTATTGGCCAGATATCCATGTTTGTGGAGTGCTGTGGCCTCGTGGTTAAGGGCACTGATTTGTGGTCTGTGGGTAAAGCTGCAGGTTGTGGGTTCGAGTCCTGGCCGGGTCATGGTGCGTGTGCCCTTGGGCAAGGCACTTTGTCACTCATTGCTTCTCTCCACCCAGGAGTAAATGGGTACCTGTGAGGGCAGAGATGGTTATTGTGATTGAATTAGCTTCCTTGCGCCTAACAGGCTGCATCGAGCTGTATACTCCCCAGGGAGCTGAGATGGTATTTGGAATGTTTCATGTGCCCAATGTGCAGGGGTAATAATGATGTAGCCCCTTGAGCACCAGTCCTGGTGGATACGTGCGCTTTATAAATAGCCAATATTATTATTATATTATTATTATTATTATTATGTTTTACTAAATTAACCCATTTAGCTGTCCATGGAAGGCCATTGGAAGCTATTGACATGATTGAGCTGAGTGAGAATTATTAGGCCAAGAAAAGAAAAAAAAAGAACTGGTTTTTAACCAGATGTTGAAAACTGTTCTCCGTCATGTCCGTGTGCCATTACTACATGTATTATTACACTAAATTTGAACAATCTCCAAAAGTTCACCTTGGATCTATTCTAATCTTGATCTGCGCTGTTCCCATTCAGGTGGAATTGTTTGCTGCCCTCACTGAGCAGAAGGAGGCCAATTCCAAGCTACAAATCCCACGACTTCTACAACAGGAGGTTTGTCATGTAGCATATGTCAAAAATACCACTTTTCTTGAAAATGACAGCACACCAGGTGCCATGATTTTATTCGGTGCTTTAGACTGTCATTCACTACATGTAACAATCCAGTAAGGTACAAATGTATTTCATAATAATTTGTGACCGGCTCCACAAAAAAGGGTATTATGTTGCAAAAAAGTGAAATGGAGTTATATACATGTACATGGTTAGAAAGCCCATAACGTAAGCTTTTATTCTGTTATTTGGTAAATACTAGAGCTCCATAGCCCCTCCTGTTTTGGAGACATGATGTATTTGCATATTAATTACTTCCTTGGAATTCATAATTGCACAACTGAGAAAACAGGCTTTGAAATAGCTGGCTTTGTTATAGAACATTAGAATGATGCACACAAATTGGTTGTTTTTCCACTTTGTTCATCGAAATCAACATTTCTGTGAAAGTAACCTGAAACTGTAGGTATTAATGATGTCATTCATGACAGAAAATAAAAATCACATTTTGACAAAATGTTCACCCTCTCAATGTTAAGCAGGCCATTACACAATAATACTAAGGGCGACGTAATACCCTTTTTTTGTAGAGCCGGTCACATTTGGTCTTTGTGTGTTTTGCTTTTTGCAAATGTTGTATACATGTATATTCCCTTTCAATAAGAGTATTCAATGTTGTTCTTCCCTTGTTGTTTTCGAGTTTCACCCCCGAAGAGAGATTTTGTTTTAAAATTTCTATTTTTCCATTGTAATATAACATTTATTCAATTTTTAAAGAGAGATAGAATGAAATGCACCCATGATTAGTTATTGAATATTTACTTTAATAACAAATTATTTGCTGCCCAGCAATAATTCAGGCATTTTTGTGTGCGTTGCGAAAACAAATTGTATTTGAATGTTGAAGGGTGTTGAACAAATTGCGGCCTGATGAATAATTCAGGCATTTTTGGGGGGCGTTACAAAAACAAACCAGATTTAACCCTAAAGGGGCCGGGTTATTTTGACCATCTCTCAGCGGATTTTGCCCCCCCCCCCCCCAAGATCTCGACCATCGAGTGACGAAAAATTTTGAAACTCGGCACATGCATAGAGCAACTTTTCCTAAACATACCCACGAAATTTCATGACTATAGGTCAAAGGGTTTTGGAATTATGGCTAATTAATTATTCATATAAAATGGCGATTCTGCTCTGTGTACACGACGTATATGCACAAATTCAGTTTTCACGGCGTGTAGCGCCAGAAACTTTTTCGCTACGCAGCAACCCGTGGTCCAATTTTTATGTTTATGGTATTAAAAGATGTGCAAAGCTCGAGGCTAAAAAGTCATAACAGGGTTAAAGCATACGGTACTAGAAGAGGATGGAACACATTATTCACGGCCAAACAGTAATTCACACTTGTTTGCGTTACAAAAACAAACCAAGTTTAAAGCGAGCTCAATGTGGGTTAAAAATAATCAAAAAAGAAAAAAAAAATGTTTCCTGTTTAAAGACCCTTTAATTATTTTTCTGAATCGCACTTCTTGAATTTTTTGAATCGGCATAATTAATTTTGTCCATTAGCATTCGTATTATTCTGTGTAATGTTTGTGGTTTGGCAGGGACGGGGTGTGGACTATCTGGTTTTGTGGTTGGATTGCGACAAGGAAGGAGAGAACATCTGCTTTGAAGTCGTAGACTGTGTTCTTCCTGTCATGAATAAAAGCTCAATGAGACAACAGGTGAGCCCAAGTGAGAATTAGCGGTAATTTGTAGCGTAGCCAGGTGTTGAACATGTTGAATGAAACAATTATCCTGGGGGTTCACTGCCAGCCGATCTAGCCCGCTAGTAGCTGTTGATTAAATATATTACAATGTAATGACTTGTATTACCTTAATTTAGGAAAATTAATGTTTAAATTTAAGTATAATCTACTCCCGTCCTGTTTTGATTCTTGTTTTACCTTAGCATCTAATGTTCATGTATATAACACCCGAAGTAGTGCTAGGGGAAATCTGTTTGTCCAATTTAACAGGACGTCAATGTCAAAAAACAGTGTGATTCATCAAGGCACCTTGTACTGGAATAGTTTAGATGATTCTCTTAAACTGCTACCCTCACTATCTGTCTTTGTCAAAAATTTAAAAACTCATTTTATCGAATCATATTCATAAATTGAAATGTTACATGTGCATTAATATTTAGGCCTTGTCTCACACACTTGTCCTGTCTGTCTCCCGTTGTTTTTTGTTTGTCCCTTGTTACAGTGCTTTGGTTGTATGTCTGTCCATAGGTAAGGGCACAAAAGCGTCTGCTTAACCTTACACCTAACTGTTGTCATTTAATATTACACTTATTAGTAATCACTGTGTACATAACTGTCATATATATTACTACTGACCTTTCTTAATTTATACATGATTGTACATAATTGTAATGAATGACATCATTGAAATAAATGTTTCCAAACCAGATTGGGCTTCGAGTGACCAGGTCACATCGCACTTGACAAATGAGGATATGCCGTGTGTTCTATTAACCCTAACCGCCCTGAATCCTCCAAAATCCTTTTTGCAAATTGGAGGAATTTGCAGGATTGAGGTTACATGGCAAAAGTGGGTTGCTGATTTCGGAGTACGCACTGTGTCGAGGTCTTGGGCCGGACCTTGTGTTGTTTATGCTCAGCCGTGCATAAATTTAGTCCTTGATTATACTTGACATCCTCCGCACTGCTCCGGGATGTCACTGCCTCTGCCTCAGCCTATTGACAGTCATAGCCGGAGGATTTGGCAGGATTCAGGCAGTGGTCATCCCTCCATGGACCATATTCCAGAAACAACGGAGGAATTTGCAGGATTGAGGCTATGCTATTTTTTCCGTGAGGCTGATTGGAAGATTTTGCAGGATTGAGGCTACATCCTCTAGCAAAAAGGACTAGGGAGTTAGGGTTAAAGGTTGATCCAGCTACCCTACAATTTCAGCCAAAACTTGCTGGTCCCCAACCCCGGCCCCCGACCAATGTTGTCTCTCCTTGTGCGGTCTGTGCTCATGTGTGAGATGACAACATTGACCGGGGGAGAGGAGGACCGGGGGAGGGTATGCTCTTGCGTGGACGTGTCCCAACCATTTTGGCCGGGATTGTCTGAATGTATGTACCCTGCATGAGATGTGGAGAGAGCGGGTGTAAACCAGGGGAGCGGGGGACAGGGGGAGGGTATGCATATTATGACGTGTCTCAACCATTTTTTGATATTCCAAAGGGAGCCAGAGTTTTTGAACGGCATTTTGAATGATCTCCGGTACATCTACAAGAAACTAGCGTTCATTTTTGACAAGTTTGGGTTGGAAATACCTTACGAAAGGTTGAGCTCATTTGTCCCACAACGATAGAGTGCAGAGCGATTTTCCGTGTGTCGACTACCGGGCTATGCCCGCAAACATAAAAACGTGGCTGGTCAACAGGCACCCCGTGCACGGTGACGTTGTTTGTGCGTAGTACCATTCGACATTTTGTAATGGCGTTACTTGTACATTTCTGTGACTTTACTTTCGATCCTTTTATTTTTCGTGCCCAAAACCAAATATTCATATAATTATTGTCCTTTTCTATTTTACTAATTTTGAGGTTTTATGTGACAAAAAAAAGTATTTCTTTGACAGATGTACGACCGGACTTAAATTAAATTGATTTTTTTTGGGGGGGGGGAGGGGGCTCTGGGCTCTATTCATCAATTTGAATATAAATTTAGAACCCCTCAAAACACGGTTACACCACATGATACATATGCAAATTTAAACAAAAACAGATTTTTTTGTAAAGTTAGTAAACGAAAACAATTAAACTATTTGATAAAAAAAATCAATAAATAAAAACTGAACTAAACAATAAATAAAACAAAATAAAATAAAAATAAAATAAAGTGAGTATACAAACGAAGTAAAATAGAACAAAATAGAAACACTAAAGAACCACAGGTCATCTCAAATTTTTTTTTCATTTTTATTTCCACATCAGGATGATTCACAAACAAGTAAAACTTAAACGTATTAAATTGACATGGATTAAGCACTCAATTTGTAGTGAACAGTCGCATTTGTTTCTCAGTTCTGATGCAAGTGTGTGTGCATGATATGAAAGGCTTCAGGAAATGATTTGGATTCATTTTTTACTTTGAGCACAAAACATGCAAATCAAGCTCCTCAGACTTCCAAGGAGAGCAATTTTGGGTGCTCAAATTGAGCTCCTCGGATTTCTCAGGAGAGCGATTAACTGAGCTCCACGAATTTCTAAAAATGAAGGCCTGGAGGTGCTCTGTAAAACCATTTAAAACCTTGATGTAAACCTCAGGTTTATGTCCACTTCTATCCACTTTCTCCACTCACCTACAGACCATATTCCGAGCTCGGTTCAGTGCGATCACAGACAGCGATGTCCGAGGGGCAATGGAGAGGCTTGTTGAACCCAACAAGAATGAAGCGTTGTCGGTGGACGCCAGGCAGGAACTTGATCTTAGGATTGGATGTGCATTCACAAGATACCAAACCAAGTTCTTCCAGGTATAAAAAAACCAAAACTATCCTTCTACATGGCCAACTTTTGGTGGATTTTTCTTCCTTGAGATAATAAACATTTGCGCACATTGAGTTCCCAACAGTCGGAAATTAGAGTTGATGAATCAATATTTTTTCCCCAAGAGAACGACAACAGAAGAAAAAAAAATCTGCTGAATCAGCATTACTCATCACTTTTTTTTGGCAGGGGGAATTAATTTTGAAGAATACACATGATCACATCTATGCTGCGGAATCGTAATTGCTTCGTGGGTGACATGAGCATGGTTGCAATTATTCTGTGTCAAGATGCCGCTTGTTCCACGATAAGGCCAACAATATAAGTCGGTCTCTGGTCAGCGCGCGCGTCAATTTTAATCATGCACGTCAATCCTTTTTTTTTCCAAAATGTTCCGCGGTAGCTTCAACAGCGCACTCTATTGCAGCACCTCCTCAATTTTTTTTACCAAAGAGCACCAAGGAATGGGAAATTGCACCAAGGCAAATGATCGAGATTACCAAGGCAAATTATGGAGGACACCAATGGACATGAGGACACCAAAAAAAACCAAAAAATACCCCACCTTGTCTGTACAATCCAAGCTTGAAAAAAAAAAAAAGCCAAAAAAAAAAAAAAAACGCGTCCCGAGTCAATTCCGGAACTTTGGTCTGACCAGAGGCCGAAGTTTTTTTTTTTTTGGCCTAATCACATGATTTCTCAGTTTTGTGACCTGTTAATAACTAAATTTTGCTTGATTGACACACAGGCCCAGCGTTGGTGTCTGGCAGGGGCCATAGGAGACGCGGCGCATGCAAATCACAGGTCGTCCTTATTCTTTCAGTGCCCGCGAAATTTGAAAAGTTTAACCCTAAAGAGCCCAACTTTGAGCATTTTTTTGCGATTGTTCAAAATTCTTTTTACATGTACTCACTAAATTTGTTGTTGTTGCTCTCTGGTATATCCTTGGTACAATGGAAAGTCACTAGTAGTCACTTACATACGGTAGTGCTACACCCTGCACAACGGGGAATTCCGCACTTTTTGCAGAATATACAGGTTTTAGTGCTGGGCCCTCTTGCAAGAACTCGAATGAAACAGATAAATACAGGTCGTACCTGAATGAAAATGATATTATTAGAAAGAGCGAGAGCGCCCCCTTGTGATAACATGCTTACTCTACCTCGTACATGTACGAGGTTTGGCGATTTTAAGTACGAACATTACCCCGTACATGTACGAGGTTGACACTGTCGAACTAACAAATATACCTCGTACATGTACGACTTTGGCACTGAAAGAGTTAAGGCAGCTTTATGTTTTATATATGTGGAAAAAAATGAATCAATTAACCCTTACCCTACTAGACCCTCCAACGCATGCCAATATGTGCCTCAAGAAAATCTCCTATGTTTTTTGCATGGCCCTCCAATATCTGCCATGTCATTTCAAGGGTAACTGGACAGGCACTCCAATACATGCCACAGAGAACAATGAGAGTCCTCTGATAACAAAGTGAGTGCCCCCAGCTGGTCAGTATCAGGCACCCTCCAGGGCCTCCAACTCCTGCCAATTGGAGCCTTCACTGTTAAGAGAAACTATCTGCCAATAAACTGCAGCTGGAGGGCATTGGCGTAACCAACTGACATGCAGTAAACTACCCTCAGAGAGTAAGGGTTAATTCATTTTTTATTGATATTTGTTTGACTGATTTTTGTTTTCTTACTGCCAGGGTAAGTACGGTGATTTGGACAGCACTCTCATCTCCTATGGCCCCTGCCAGACACCAACGCTGGGCCTGTGTGTCAATAGACATGACAAGATCCAGGAGTTCAAACCAGAGCCATTTTGGGTTCTACACACTGAGGTAAGTCAACCAAGAAGTCAACCATTTCGTCACCATTTTGACAAAGTGACAAATCCGTCCAAATCTAAGATTTTAAGCACTTTGAGATTTTTGGATAATCTAGCATTTTATGATGTCCTACATCATAACCCAAATTTCGGGTCACAAAATTATTATGCTAATTACACAAAGTAATTAATGCGTGATGAATTCAGGTTTTCATTTCGATGTAGTGGCAAAACTGCAGTTGTCAGTATTAAAGTCTCATTGATTTTGCACATGTGCTCAATTTAGATCTTTGTATGTAGCCTCTACAATGTTGCATTTTGAGGAGGTGACAAATCTGTGTTCTGTGTATACATTTTACATTTGCGCACGCTGTGTACAAACGTATGCTATGTCTGGATGGCATGGGTGGCTTGTGCGTAAAGCGCTCGCCTCTCACCAAGGTGACCACGGTTCGAATCCTGGCCGCGGATCGCATATGAGTAGAGTTGTGCGTTGGTTCTCTCCTGTGCCACGTGGGTTTTTCTCCGGGCCCTCCGGTTTTCCTCCCTCCGGAAAAATCAAACACTTTCGATCTCAGGCTGTGCTCCGTGGTCATATATGGGTCGATGTAGTCGGCAGCCATGGGCGCCTTTACGTGCCAGCGGCCCGACCACGTTGTAGCCGCGTCCTTCGCAATTCAGCAAACCAGCTGCGAGTAAGGATGATTAGCCTCCCAAATTATTATTATTACTATTATTACGTATGACAAAGTAGAATTTTTGATCAAGTGACAAATATCTTTAGTAATTAACGTCTCCTAATTAAACATGATTTCATGAAAACTGAGGAAATTTGTTTGCTATTTAACTACTTGGCCACCGCATCGGATATATTTTTTCTATTTTGGGGTAGAAATACATGTGATGTGATCAAGCTAAATGAGTCGTTTGTCGGGAATTTTTATTTGGAGATACAGGCCAAAATAGGGCCACTTCATCACATCACTTCATCCCATCTCTTGGTGTTCCGACTTCCATAACTTTTGAACTAAAGATGGTATCAGCATGGGGTTTTCACAGCAGTAATGCTGAGATGGTGCTCTTTTGAAATCTGTAATAAAAATTTTTTGACCAGGGTCGACAAACGACTCATGTAGTTTGATCGCATCATATACATGCGAAAAATCAACCAACGCTAAATGTGGTTTTCTCAAAACTCGGTTTTGCAGCTGTGCGGGCAGATTCATAACTTCGTCAAAACAATGAAGATTTGTCTTAATTAACCCTAACCGCCCTGAATCCTCCAAAGTCCTTTTTGCAAATTGGAGGATTTTGCAGGATTGAGGTTACATGGCAAAAGTGCGTTGCGGATTTCGGAGTACGCACTGTGTCAAGGTCTTGGGCCAGACCTTGTGTTGTTTATGCTCAGCCATGCATAAATTTAGTCCTTGATTATACTTGAAACCCTCCGCACTGCTCTAGGATGTCACTGCCTGTGCCTCAGCCTATTGACAGTCTTAGCCGGAGGAATTTGCAGGATTGAGGCTATATGCTATTTTTCCATGAGGCCAATTGGAGGATTTTGCAGGATTGAGGCTACATCCTAGCAAAAAGGCCTAGGGAGTTAGGGTTCTTAATATTGTGGATGAGAAAATTTCAAAATGAAATAGAATGCTAAGTTAAAAATGTTTCAAGGTTTGGATTTTGTTTGTGCTGTGTTTTTGTTAGGTAGCTCATTCCAGTGGTAAGAATCTGGCTCTAGACTGGGAGCGGGTGAGAATGTTTGACCGCGATGTCGCCCAGATGTTCATGAACATGATCAAAGGACAGAAAGATGCAAAGTAAGTTATTAAAGGGAATAATCCTTCAAAATCCTCCAACAGCCCTGCCTCTCAAACTGCATTCAGCCTCAATCCTCCAAAATCCTCCTCTTCTTCAAACACCATTCATGCCATTCAGCCTCAATTCTCCAAAATGAACCAATACTGAATGTGCTCGCAATCCTCTACATTCCTCCAAAATTGTATTTCGCCTTCAGCCTCAATCCTCCAAAATCCTCCTCTTCTTCAAACACCATTCATCCTCATTCCTCCAAAATCAACCGATACTGAATATCATATGTGTGCTCAATCCTCCACAGTCCTCCAAAATCGTATGTTGCATTCAGTCTCAGTCCTCCAAAATCCACCTCATCTTCAAACACCATTCATCCTCAATCCTCCAAAATCAACCAATACGGAATGTTCATGTGCCCTCAATCCTCCATACTCCTCCAAAATTGTATGTTGCATTCAGCCTCCATCCTCTGAAATCCTCCAAAACCGCCTGGAGGACTTTGGAGGATTGAGGAGGGCTAGGGTTAACCCTCACTTCACAACCCACACTTAGCACCCACACTTCAAATTCCTTAGAGGTAATCTTCTGTTGAGAATGGATAACACCTGAAATCGCTGCCCAGTTCTTTTGAGTGGTTAAAAGGAAAATACAACATTTGCAAACATCAAAAAATAAAACTACCAAATCATTTGGAAATACCCTGCTGGACTGTTAGTGAATGACAGTGTAAAGCATCCTGTAAAATCATGGCACCTGGTATACTGTCATTTTCAAGAAAAGTGGTATTTTTTGTATCAATTTCCAACGCTGATCGGCCGATCAGCGTTGGAAAAAACTGGCTTTTTTCAAATACTGGCCCCAATTGACCATCGCACTTGTTTGCAATCGATTACAAACCTATGAATGGGTACGAGCCAGGTAGACTGGTTCCCTGACCTTACAATTCCCCAATGTATGTAAACTGCTCTGTTTCTTCTTATATGGAGTCAGGGAACCAGACTACAGGAAAATGATTATTTTTCTTGGTTTTTATAGCATTTTCGAACCCAAAACCTCAAAAAAGTCAGTGTAACTATATTTGCTTTATATTTCCAACCCCCATATTCCATCCATTTCTGAAAATTACAGCAAAAGCAAATGATGTATATTCCCTTTAAATGTTTTATTTTCAGTCTTCATGTTGCAATTTGTGAGGGTGTTTTGGTGGCTTTGTTTTATGCTAATGTAAAATTTCAATATTCATGAGCAAAACTGTGATTTCATTCGAGTCAGAAACTCAGTGTTACAGCTGCTTTACCACCAAAAGTTGCCAAAATATTGAGTTTTTTTATTGCGGTAACATTTTTGTTCTTGGTGATTCATTGTTGTTTCAGTACATGACAGTGTTTAACAGGCATGCAACTTTTACTCGGATCCGCCGATTTCCTCGTTTTTTTACTTCCCATGAATGCCATTACAAATTAAAAGCAAAATGTACAAATAGTCTTGTGTGGTTTGGAATTTCTTTGTTTTTTTTCTAAATTTCCAGTTGCATGCCTGATTTTGTAAAGTCAGAGAGAAAACTTTATACACTGATGTTTTCATGTGCAAATTTTGGTTAAAATGTGAACCGAAAACCCCTAAACTGAAAAGCATATTCCTTGAAATGACATCACAGAAACAGCCCCCTCAGTTGTCAGGAAGAGCATGGAGCATTTAAAGGGAATATACAACATTTGCAAACATTGAAAACAAAACTACCAAAGTTTTGCGAAATACCTTACTAGGATGTTGGTAAATGACAGTCTAAAGCATCCTGTAAAATTATGGCACCTGGTATGAAGTCATTTTCAAGAAAAGTGGTATTTTTGTATAAATTTCCAACGGGGGTCGGCCGACCACCGTTGGAAAAACCTAACTATTTTTCAACTACTGCTCCCAATTTACCATTGTTTTTCAGTCCAAATTGTGTTTGCTTTTGGTTACATGTTCATGAACGGGTGCAGGCAAGCTAGACTGGTTCCCTTACCTTACAATTTTCTGGCATCTATAAATTGATCCATTTCATCTTTAGTGGAGTCAGGGAACCAGACTACTTGAACATTTTTGGTTTTTCTTGGTTTTTCCAGCATTTTTGAACACAAAACTTCAAACATGTCAGTGTAACAATATTTGATCTATTATACTGACCCCTCAAATAGTTCATTTCTGAAAATTACAGCAAAAGCCAATGATGTACATTCCCTTTAAACAAAACAATTAAAAGTGCACTTTTCAAAAATCTTGAATAAAAAGGGATGCTTCATATCTTTCATACATTAAAATTTAAATTTGCACAAAACACGTTCCGATGTGGAACCGATGTCATGATCCCGTTAAGAAATATTTCAAATTCAGTACCCGAAAAGAAACAGACGTTGCTACAAAAAGATGGGACTTTTTATCTTCACATTACTATTTCTAATTTCAAATCAATACTTATCCTTTTTTTTCAAAGGGTGACGTCTGTAACGCAGAAAGAAAAGGTCAAACAGCGCCCCCTAGCATTGAATACCGTGGAACTGATGCGCGTAGCGAGTGCGTCGTTGGGTATGAGTCCCCATCATGCAATGCAGATTGCCGAGCGGTTATACACGCAGGGTTACATCAGCTACCCAAGGACGGAGACGACACACTACCCGGAGAACTTTGACTTGAAGTAAGTCTACACAAGTCGTGAGTTTCTATACGCCAGTGGACAATGCTTTGTGTTTCCCTTTGTCCCTGTAATATAACACTCTCCTAAGCACATAATTGTACAATCGAGAACCGTTTTCTATAAACATGATAAAAGACCCCATGCTCCATGACTGAAAAGATCTTTTGTTCTCCCTTTGTGTGTCTGTCCTCGATTGTAAAACCATACGTGTATACACACACACAAAAACCCAGATACTCAGATATTTACGATTAAAGTGACATGACATGTACGTCCTTGATTCGCTTGTACCCCCCGCCCTGCAAACAGGGCGCTGGTAAGGGCTGATGAGCTTCACAGAATCTTGTGACGGAAGTACAGATTGCCCTTCGCATGCAGCGAGCGCACGCTACACATGATGGGCACCGGAAGCTAGTTTGCGTGACGCATTCTACATCACAGGTCACGCAAATCTATCCAATGAGAGCTCAAATGACGTCAGCCCTGACCAGCGTCCTGTTTGCAGGGCGGGGGTAGGAGGGAACATCCTTGAATGTGCCCACTTAGGCTACAACATGCATTTCAAATGGAATGATGTTAATTGAAAAGAGCGTTTCAAAGTAGGATATAAACATCCACACAACTATCCTTTAACACTGAGCATTTTGCCGATATTCTTGCGCGACCACATTTCGGGGTCAAAATTTTGACTCTCAAATATCAAGCTGTTGGATGCTAGTCATGAAGCCTGCTGCCCAGTGCATTGCATTCTGCGGACGTTTGAGACAATGCGACAAATTTTAAACCTTCATTCAATTATTTTTTTCCTCCAATAAAATGATTTTATCTGCAGATTCTACAAAAAATTAGTATTGAAACCTGCTTTAAGACCCTTTAGAACCTCCTGGGCCCTTTTGGCTAGGAACCATCCTCAATCCTCCAAAATTGAAAATCCTCAAAAAAAGTTTTTATTATTTTATTTACGTCATCTTTAGTGAGGGTAGCTCCGATCAGTGCAGGGCACTGCTTTCCATGGAGGCCATCAATATGAGAAATATGAGACCCATTATATATGTAGCACCTTTAAGGGTTACAAGGTGCTGCGGCGCATATTGCAGCCACTGCCAGAAACACCGGGGCAAACCCCTTCTCTTAGCGATAAGTGTTACTGGGTTCTTTAACCCTAACCCCCTAGGCCCTTGTTGCTTACTACCATCCTCAATCCTCCAAAATCCTCCAAAATTGTTCAACTCCGCCTAAATTTTTCAAAATTGTCAGACAGTCCTGCCTCAAAATGCATTCATCTTCAATCCTCCAAAATCCTCCTCATCCCAAAACTTTGCACTCGTGTTTAAATGAAGGATAACCAACGCCAAATCCTTCAAAATCATCAGACAGTCCTGCCTCAAAATGCATTCATCCTCAATCCTCCAAAATCCTCATGTGCTTCATTCACTATTCATCCTCAATCTTCCAAAATCCTCATGTGCTTCAATCACCATTCATCCTCAATCCTCCAGAATCCTCATTTGATTCAATCACCATTCATCCTCAATCCTCCAGAATCCTCCAAAACCGCCAGGAGGATTTTGGAGGAGTGAGGTGGGTTAGGGTTAACGTGCATTACACAACACACGGGACCTACGGCTTTACGTCCCATCCGAAGGACGAAGCAATAATGGTAAAGTGCCTTGCTCAAGGGCACAAGTGTCCGGGCCCGGGCTCGAACCCACGCCACTGTTGCCTCTGAAACACCAGAGCATGAGTCCGGTGTTCTCAACTGCTAGGACATGACACTCCACTGAAATGTTGCACTTGCATGTATGTATGTTCAAATGAAGTATACCCACTGCCTTAATCCTTTAAAATCCTCCAACAGCCCTGCCTCAAAATGCATTCATCCTCAATCCTCCAAAATCAACCAATACTGAATGTCCATGTGCCCGCAATCCTCCACATTCCTCCAAAATTGTACGGGTATGTTGCATTCATTCTCAATCCTCCAAAATCCTCCTCTTCTTCAAACACAATTCATCCTCATTCCTCCAAAATCAACCGATACTGAATACCCATGTGCGCTCAATCCTCCACAGTCCTCCAAAATCGTATGTTGCATTCAGTCTCAGTCCTCCAAAATCCTCCTCTTCTTCAAACACCTTTCAGCCTCAGTCCTCCAAAATCAACCAATACTGAACGTCCATGTGCCCTCAATCCTCCACAATCCTCCTAAAATGTATGTTGCATTCAGCCTCCATCCTTTGAAATCCTCCAAAACCGCCTGGAGGACTTTGGAGGATTGAGGAGGGCTAGGGTTAACCCTCACTTCACAACCCTTCAAGTTTTGCAAAACCATATTTGACCATAGAGTTAGCACCCACACTTCAAATTCCTTAGAAGTAATCTTCTGTTGAGAATGAATAACACTTGAAATCGCTGCCCAGTTCTTTTGAGTGGTTAAAAGGAAAATACAACATTTGCAAACATCAAAAAATAAAACTACCAAATCATTTGGAAATACCTTGCTGGACTGTTAGTGAATGACAGTGTAAAGCATCCTGTAAAATCATGGCACCTGGTATACTGTCATTTTTAAGAAAAGTGGTATTTTTGTATCAATTTCCAACGCTGATCGGCCGATCAGCGTTGGAAACAACTGGCTTTTTTTTCAAATACTGGCCCCAATTGACCATCGCACTTGTTTGCAGTCGATTACAAACCTATGAACGGATACGAGCCAGCTAGACTGGTTCCCTGACCTTACAATTCCCCAATGTATGTAAACTGCTCTGTTTCTTCTTATATGGAGTCAAGGAACCAGACTACAGGAAAATGATCGTTTTTCTTGGGTTTTTATAGCATTTTCGAACCTAAAACCTCAAAAAAGTCAGTGTAACTATATTTGCTATATATTTCCAACCCCCCAATTCCATCCATTTCTGAAAATTACAGCAAAAGCAAATGATGTATATTCCCTTTAAGATCAGGCAGGCTCACCACACTGCTGTATTGTTTTACATATTGCTCTAAATATTGACTTCCTACTGAGATTATTATAATAATACTGTAATATTTGTCATCATCAGGGGTACTCTGAAGCAGCTGCAGTCCAGTCCCTGGGGTAGTGAGATCAGACAGCTGTTAGATCAAGGTATCAATCGACCGAGGAAAGGCCATGATGTGGGCGACCATCCTCCTATCACACCCATGAGATGTGCCTCAGAGAGCGAGATAGGAGGCGAGGCATGGCGATTGTATGAATACATCTTGCTGCACTTCGTTGCTACAGTGAGTACTGGGAACCAATTTCATGTATCTGCTAAGCACAGAGCAGGTTACCAGCCAAAATCTCATGAAAAGTGTATTGCTTGTCACTGGTTCCCGGCTTATTTGAAAGTTGTTCAGCAACATTCTCTTCTTTGAGATAGCAATCACAAAGTTGTAGTCGAGGCCTCCTCACAAATCACCACAAGTCATCATAAGTTAACATAAGCCATCACAAGCCATCACAAGCCATCACAAGCCATCACAACTCATAACAAGCCATCACAAGCCATCACAAGCCATCACAAGTCATAATAAGCCATCACAAGTCATCACAAGTCATCACAATTTATCACATGCTATCACAGACCACTCAAGTCACCATAAGCCTCCATAAGTCATCACAAGTCATCACAAGCCATCACAAACCATCATAAGTCACCACAAGCCATCACAAGCCCTCACACGTCATCGGAGCCGTCTTAAACCATCACAAATCATCCCAAGCCACACAATTCGTCCGTCACATGTCATGAAGTGCAAAGTGGAATAAGCTATCAGGCATGCAACTTTTCCTCAAATCTGCTGATTTCCTCGATTTTCACTTCACACTTATGCCATATGAAATTTGAAAAGCACTGTACAAAGTTTTGTAAAGATTCGAGTTTCCTTGTGTTTTTGTTTCTTCCAAGTTGCATGCCTGAGCTATGCAAGTGATTTGTGACACAGGCATGCATATTTTCCTTGGATCAGCTGATTTCCTCGTTTTTCACTTTTCATGAATGCCGTTATCAATTGAAAAGTACTGAGTTTCCTCGGTTTTCTTCTAAATTCCCTGTTGCATGCCTGGTGACAAAGGCATCTCTTTGTTATTTTACTCCATTTCCTTGTGATCTCACTTGTAATTTGACGAATTTAGTTTCACTAGCCACAGAAAAGTCACAGTCACAGTTACGGTTTGTAAGTTGACATTTAACAGCTTTTCAATTCAGGGTGATTAAAAAAACATGAAACCCAAATGGCAGGACCAATGTTTGAATGAAGTTTTGCCTGTAGCACTTTCAAAATCTAGGATATGAAAGCCCAGTCATTAAGCTTTCTTTTAGTACAAGAATCATTCAAATCACTCATGTACTTTACAAGTTACAGAATTTTGAACACAAACACCGTTTTAAAGTTCGGTACACGGATCCCAACAAAGTAAGTGTTCTTTCAGCAAAACAAAACCAATTCTAATAGGGATGCACGTGAATTGTTTTCGTTTTGCTGAAAGAACACTTACTTTTTTGTGATCCATGGACAGAACTTTAAAATGGTGTTTGTGTTCAAAATTCCGTAACTTGAAAAGTACATGAGTGATTTGAATGATTCTTATGCTAAAAGAAAGCTCATTGATTGGGCTTTCATATCCTAGATTTTGGAAGTGCTACAGGCAAAACTTCATTCAAACATTGGTCCTGCCATTTGTGTTTCCTTTTTTTGTTTTACTCACCCTGTAGATACTTTCTGAAGAAAATTCAAATGTGCGTCTTTGTGTCATATTTTCAGGTCAGCTATGACTGTAAGTACATGCAGAAGACAGTGAGCTTCATCATTAACGATGAGCGATTCTCTTGCACCGGTAAGACCGTCATAGATCCCGGCTACACAACGTTCATGAAATGGCAGGCAATAGGCAGCATGGAGACACTGCCTACATTCAACGTCGGAGATGTTTGCACTCTGAATGAGGTAAATGTAATTCATTGTGTCCTACCGGTACATGTAGTTTCAAACTTGTTTTACCCATAACAAGTTGTATTACATTGTATTTAATCTTGGTACTTGGTACTTTAGTTGGTGGTCCTCCGAAATATTCCAGGGTTTACAAGGTGCTGCTGCCACTGCCAGAAACATCGGGGCAAACCCCTTAACGACAAGTGTTTCTGGGTTCTTTAACCCTAACCGCCCTGAATCCTCCAAAATCCTTTTTGCAAATTGGAGGAATTTGCAGGATTGAGGTTACATGGCAAAAGTGCGTTGCTGATTTCGGAGTACAAACTGTGTCAAGGTCTTGGGCCGGACCTTGTGTTGTTTATGCTCAGCCGTGCATAAATTTAGTCCTTGATTATACTTGACATCCTCCGCACTGCTCCAGGATGTCACTGCCTCTGCGTCAGCCTATTGACAGACATAGCCGGAGAATTTTGCAGGATTCAGGCAGTGGTCATCCCTCCATGGACCATATTCAAGAAATAACGGAGGAATTTGCAGGATTGAGGCTATATGCTATTTTTTCCATGAGGCCAATTGGAGGATTTTGCAGGATTGAGGCTACATCCTAGCAAAAAGGCCTAGGGATTAATGTGCATTACACAACACACGGGACCTACGGCTTTACGTCCCATCCGAAGGACGAAGCAATAATGGTAAAGTGCCTTGCTCAGGAGCACAAGCACCATGTTCCCACGGCCAGGATTTGAACCCGTGTTCCACAGCACACGAGCTGAACACCGTAACCATTGGACCACAGCACCCCACGATACTCCTAGATGAATCCATTAGACCTTTTATACTTTGGGCGGTTTGAGGCGGTATAAGGAGTAATAGGCAGGCGCTTTGGGTTAATTGGGACTAACTAGTGCAGTGCCCATTGAAAACGGGCAAATTGCTTTGCCTCCAGTAGACCCGCAAACGTGGCCGTAAACGTTGCGCGATCTTCCCCCTTAACCCTCGGAGCAGCTTATCAAAAAAATCACACTGTAGAACCACGTGGAGAATTTTATCACCACATGTGTTTATAGGTCAATAACCCTGGCATGCCTGTACATGTACAAGATATAGGTCATTCACATGGCCAGGGATTGTTTAATATAAAATATGCCCATATTTGGAAAATGTGGATTATAAAACTGCCGTCGGGCTGCTCGGAGGGTTAAAAAAAAAAAGTACATTGCATGGGTCCTTTCAGCAAAACTCAATGTTTTTTTCTTCTTCTGCAGATTAAACTAGTTGAAAGGCAAACCAGCCCACCAGACTACCTGACTGAGAGTGAACTCATCACACTCATGGAGAAACACGGTATTGGGACCGACGCTAGTATACCGGTTCACATTGAGAATATCTGCCAACGCAATTACGTGAAGGTGGAGAGTGGACGCCGACTGGTACCCACTCGGCTGGGCATTGTTCTCATCCACGGATATCAGAAGGTAAGTTGGACACGAACCTGAGACCACTGGATTACCGCTCCAATGTTCTATCAACTACAGTAAACTCCGGCTAAACCGACATCGTACAACTCGTCAAATCGCTCAAGTCGGCCTTCTGACTAAAGTCCTGATTGTCCATAATGCATTTCCATTGGATTTTTTATTTCTAAGTCGGCTTTTATAAGTCCCCATTTCGCTCAAGTCGTCCTGTTTCTCTCGGTCCCCTTTCCATAAAAAGTATTACAAAATCCTTTGTGTAAGTCGGCATTCAACGAATCACGCATTGGCATCGACTTCCTGTACTGCGGTTGGCAAAGTGTTGAGTGAAAAGTGGTTTGGCACTGCCCGTGATCGCTGCATGCATCGGTGTCGAAAAAGGGTGTCGTACTGCATACCACTATTGGTGTTATAGGATCTTTGCTGCATACATCACATATGCATCGTGAGCACATCAATATCAGTACCCTCTCTCAGCTGGACACATGCGCTCTGTCCAGTTTGGGGGTCCTCTTTTGGAATAACTACTGCTGCATTCAATGCGTGCGTGGTATAAACCGGACCACGCACACATTTAATTCTTTACTGTGCACGTACACATGTGTATCGTGGTCTCCACTATCAATATCCCAAACGTGATGATACAATTTGAGGATTAATTTGCTGGATTCAACTCAAGCATTAACCCTAACCCACCTCACTCCTCCAAAATCCTCCTGGCGGTTTTGGAGGATTCTAGAGGATTGAGGATGAATGGTGATTGAATCAAATGAGGATTCTGGAGGATTGAGGATGAATGGTGATTGAAGCACTTGAGGATTTTGGAGGATTGAGGATGAATGGTGATTGAAGCACAAGAGGATTTTGGAGGATTGAGGATGAATGCATTTTGAGGCAGGACTGTCTGATGATTTTGAAGGATTTGGCGTTGGTTATCCTTCATTTAAACACGAGTGCAAAATTTTGGGATGAGGAGGATTTTGGAGGATTGAGGATGAATGCATTTTGAGGCAGGATTGTCTGACAATTTTGAAAAATTTAGGCGGAGTTGCAAAATTTTGGAGGATTTTGGAGGATTGAGGATGGTAGTAAGCAACAAGGGCCTAGGGGGTTAGGGTTAAGAAGATAATCCAGGGTAAATCGAAGCCAATTAGTGCAATGAATCATGTGTGCAAAAGACCATTCATGTAAGTCGACAAACTGACGACTTACAGCACATGTCGGCATTCGCGTAAGCTGTCACAAATTCTCAGGTCTCGAGAGCGCTGACTTAGCCGGAGTTTACTGTACATCAACTTGACTTGATAGTCAAGTTAGAAGATCGTCAAAACAGTAATCCAGCGTTTCTACATGCGAATCCCAACTCAATCAAATTTTTGTTTCATTTGTGGCATAAGAGCAAAGGAGCCGAACCTGAAACCATTGTTATCCCACTTTTGTGTTCTACCAAGTGAACCACCATGCTAAGTTATTAAAGGTAGCATCCATCATTTGTAATTTGTGACCTGTTCTGTCAAAATCAGACTTTTCTGGGCATAACATGCATAAGGTCGAAAATGATATTTTTACATATTGTTAACATATGTTCTTTTTCCTTTTAATAGGTGGTTTAATTTTTGAAACGGGTCATTCCTGAGCAGAGTTATGCTATTTTGAAGTTCATTGTGTCGAAAAGTAGAAAAAAATGGCCACGAACGTCACAAAACAGTTATTTCTTTAACTGATATACCTTATCAAAATCATCAAAAATAGTATATGTAGAGTTCAAATTAGGGTTTCAAACTTTTATAAAATATTTTAGACATGTTCAGGATTACAAATATGCACAAATTTGAAAATCGATAACAATCACCCCACAGCATTTTTTGGCCCTATCTCAATTTCAACCTCTGCCCAGAAGCGTCTGCTTTTGACAGAACAGGTCACATTTGTGCATTATGTTTGAAGCAACAAAAGTGCTCAAATTCTAAAGAAGGGTGCTGAACAACTAACCTGATAAAGTTTCAGCTCAGTGAACCCTGTATATTCCAAGAAAACAATATTCTAGGATCTTGTTTTCATACCAAAAGTTGCTGAATCATGTTTTGAATTGGGGCCGGAATTCAGCGTTCAAGACACGTTCTCACTGAAGCGATTGCAGCTTTCTGGATGTTGCTCACTGAACTGAAATATATAAACCGCGCACATGTGTGTCATGTCAACGCTTGCGCACGGCTTAGCCGAATTAATTAGGAACTACTAACGAAAGTTTTAAAGATGCATCTTGAGACGCATCGTTGAAAATGGCCTTTTTTTAGTTGATTTCTTTCCAATGACAGCTTGCAAGAAAGAAGAATTTTACAGGGAGAATAGTACCATTACCATCTTTAAAGATATAGTCCATCATTTGTAATTTGTGCATTTTGTTCGTTTGAAGCAACAGAAGTGTTCAAAATCTAATGAAGGATACTGACCAACTAACCTGATGAAGTTTCAGCTAAGCTTCAGCTGTATGTCCCGAGAAAAACAGCATTCTAGGATCTCAATTTCAAATCAAAAGTTACTGAATCATGTTTTGAATTGTTTTGAATTGCAGCTATACGTGACGTCGCGCACTGATCCGACGAATTATAGCAACCGCGCCCGCGTGTGCATCGTGCCAAAGATTGCGCGCGCTTCGCCAAATAACAAAACGAACTACTAATTTAAATTTTCCTACGGTGCGTCTTAAGACGCACCGTTGGAAAGGCCTTCTTTCGTTGATTACTTCAAAATGACAGCTTGCCAGAAAGAATAATTTCACAGGGAGTTTAGTTCCCTTACTATCTTTCAACGAAGTTTGTTTTTCAACAATAATTACGCCAGTTACTTTTCGGATGGCTGCAAATGATGGACTATGGCTTTAAGCAAAGTATGTTTTTCAACAGTAATTACGTCAGTCACTTTTGGGTAGCTGCAAATGATGGACTGAAACTTTAAGAAGGTTAAACACCCAAACGATATTTCAGAGGTCTCGCGTTCAAATCTCACTTCAGTTGATTTCATTGCCACCACTATGACTGGTTTCAGATCGATCCAGATCTGTCGCTACCTACGATGCGTTCAGCTGTTGAGGAGCAGCTGAACCTGATAGCCCAAGGCAAGATTGACTATCACGTCGTCCTGAAGCACACGCTGGATATCTTCACTAGGAAATTCCAGTACTTTGTGGAGCAGATACAGGGCATGGACGAGCTCTTTGAAGTGTCCTTCTCTCCACTGGCTGCTACTGGCAAACCACTGTCAAGGTAATGAATCAATAATGATTGGAGTCAATGGAATTTAGATGAGAAATTTGATAGGAAACTTGCTTTGAACTGCAATGTTCAAAAAGTGAACCACGACGTTTGAAACACTGGTTCAAAGTGTTGTAACCAAGTCATTGTTTCACAAGTCAAGTCAAATCACAAGTCAAATTAAGTCAAGTCTCAAGTCAATAATTTTTCAAGTAGAGTCACAAGTCTTTAGGCACAATTGTTTGGGTCCCTGAGCTGGATTCAGTTAGTAATGCACATAAAAAAAAGTTTGTCAGTGAGTACACTTTTTTTAAAATCTGCCTTCAATGATTGTTGTATGTTGATCGAAACCATTTCATGCAGAAACATTTCAAAGGGTATTTGGGAGTAGCCACATCTTCACTTTGAGCAGGTTTTTTGTCCTTTGCTAGTGTTCCTACATGCTTTAAACCCTTACCCCTTAGACCCTTTTTGCTAGGAAACATCCTCAATCCTCAACAATCTTCCAAAATTGTGCACTTATATCTATGTTCAAATAAGGATACCAAGCGCCTCAATCCTTCAAAATTGTCAGACAGTCCTGCCTCTCAAAATGCATTCTTCCTCAATCCTCCGAAATCCTTATGTGCTTCAACACCACGCATCCTCAATCCTCCAAAATTCTCATGGTTCTCAAACACCATTCATCGTCAATCCTCCAATTTCTTCCAAAACCACCAGGAGGATTTTGGATTGAGGTTAAAGGGAATGTACAACATTTGCTTTTGCTGCAATTTTTAGAAATAAATGGATTTGGAGGATTAGTATGTTATAAAAAAATATCGTTACACTGGCTTGTTTCACGCTTGGAGCTTGTAGATGCTGAAAAACCAAGAAAACCATTCATGTTCTTGTAGTCTGGTTCCCTGACCCCACTTTAGATGAAATGGAGCAATTTATTGACTGGGGGTATTGTAAGGTCAGAGAATTAGTCTAGCAGGCTTTGTACCCCTTCACAGGTGTGTAATCAAATCCTAAGAAAATGCGGAATAACTAAACATGACAAATTAGGAGCAGTTAAAAAAAAAAAGTTTTCTCCAACGCTGATCGGCCCACCAGCGTTGGAAAAATACATTTCTTTCTTGGAAATGTCAACACACCAGGAGCCATGATTTTACAGGATGCTTTAGACTGTCACTCCCTTGCAATTCAGTAAGGTGTTTCGTGGTAATTTGATCATTTCGTTTTTTGATGTTTGCAAATGTTGTATCTTCCCTTTAATGCCAAGAATGGTTATTTACCTCAGATGTGGTAAGTGTCACCGTTTCATGAAGTATATTTCCGCCAAGCCCTGCCGTCTGCACTGTGCGCAGTGTGAGGAGACGTACACACTGCCTCAGAATGGAGCCATCAAACTCTACAAGGAAATCCGATGTCCGCTGGATGATTTTGAGTTGGTGCTGTGGTCCTCGGGACCCAAGGGAAAGGTAAGCGTACAAACAGTGCCGCAGTTGAGGTACTTGTGATCGGTCACAAGGCATCACAAGTCATCAAAAGTCAGCACAAGCTATCACAAGTCAATCACAAGTCATCACAAGCCATCACAGGTCAGCACAGGTCAATCACAAGTCATCACAAGCGCATCATCAGTCAGCACAAGTCAATCACAAGTCAATTACAAGTCAATCACAAGTCATCACAAGTCCATCACGAGTCCATCACAAGTCCATCAGAAGTCAATCACAAGTCATCGCAAGTCATCACAAGTCAATCACAAGTCATCACAAACGCATCATAAGTCATCACAAGTCCATCACGAGTCCATCACAAGTCAATCACAAGTCAATCACAAGTCATCGCAAGTCATCACAAGTCAATTACAAGTCAATCACAAGTCATCACGAGGCCATAACGAGTCCATCACTAGTCAATCATAAGTCATCACAAGTCAATCACAAGTCATCACGAGGCCATAACGAGTCCATCACAAGTCAATCACAAGCTATCACAAGTCAATCACAAGTCATCACAAGCCATCACAGGTCAGCACAAGTCAATCACAAGTCATCACAAGCGCATCATAAGTCAGCACAAGTCAATCACAAGTCAATTACAAGTCAATCACAAGTCATCACAAGTCCATCACGAGTCCATCACAAGTCCATCAGAAGTCAATCACAAGTCATCGCAAGTCATCACAAGTCAATCACAAGTCATCACAAACGCATCATAAGTCATCACAAGTCCATCACGAGTCCATCACAAGTCAATCACAAGTCAATCACAAGTCATCGCAAGTCATCACAAGTCAATTACAAGTCAATCACAAGTCATCACGAGGCCATAACGAGTCCATCACTAGTCAATCATAAGTCATCACAAGTCCATCACAATTCATCAAAAGTCATCACAAACATCACAAACATCACAAGACTATCACAAGTCATCGAGTCACAAGTCAACGCACAAGCTTTTGAAATACACTGTCAAATTCACTGTGATCAAGACATTGTTTTCCTGTTCATCCCCTGTTACTTGCAACTGAACTTGTGATTGACTTGTAATCCATCACACGTACCTTGACTACAATGATCACAAGCCATCACAAGCCATCACAAGTCATCACAAACATCACAAGAAAATCATAAGTCATCAAGTCACAAGTCAACTGACAAGCTACATGTATTATAATGAACTACGGACAAGGTATTCTTTTCTTAAAGGGAATGTACAACATTTGCTGTTGCTGTAATTTTCAGAAATAAATGGATTTGGAGGATTAGTATGTTATAGAAAATATTTTTAAACTGATTTGTTTCACGTTTTGGGCTTGTAGACGCTGGAAAAACCAAGAAAACCAATCATGTTCTTGTAGTCGGGTTCCCTGACCCCACTTAAAATGAAACAGAGCAATTAATACACTTGGGGAATTGTAGGCTCAGAGAATCAGCCTAGCAGGCTTGTACCCCTTCACAGGTGTGTAATCAATTGCAAAGAAAAGTCAGAATAACTAAATATGAAAACTTAGGAACAGTTTTTGAAAAAAGCCAGTTTTCTCCAATGCTGGTTGGCCGACCAGCGTTGGAAAAATACAGTTTTTCTTGAAAATGTCAGCACACCAGGAGTCACGATTTTAAAGGATGATTTGGACTGTCAGTCCCGAACAATTCAGTATGGTATTTCGTGATAATTTGATCATTTGGTTTTTTGATGTTTGCAAATGTTGTATCTTCCCTTTAAGGGAGTAAATATGTGCTTGGCCGGTTTTAAACAAGTCCGTTTAAGACCAGCTTGGGGAATTGATGCCAATAATCACCGAGCTGAAGGAGAGGGACATTATCAGCAACCAGGCCCCTGAGCCGGTCTTAACAGACTTGTTTAATACCAGCCAAGCACAGTTTTTATTCCCATTCATAAATACCTTTTCGGTCAAACAAAAATTTCCAATGATTGGGTTCACCAGTTTTACTTGTTTTTTAAACACTCTTCTATCTATGTTATGGTATGTGCCTCTCGCGATTAGTCGCAAACAACTCCTTATATGGAGATTGGTGCGCACCTGGCATGTACCTGGCGTGATGTTACTTTTTGAAAGGCTGCAAATGGTCTCCTCTCCCTGTAAATGTGATGCGATCAAGCTAAATGAGTTGTTCTTTATTTGGAGATACAGGCCAAAATAAGATCACTTCATCACATCTCTTGGTGTTCCGACTTCCATCATTTTTTAACTAAAGATGGTATCAGCATGCGGTTTTCACAGCAGTAATGCTGAGACTGTGCTCTTTTCAAATCTGTAAACAAATAAAAATTGACCAGGGTCGACAAACGACTCATTTAGCTTGATCGCATCACAAATGTTTAGCCATATCAGAATGCCAGTAATTTTGTTTCATTTTGTTTTTGTTTTTGTAGAGTTATCCCGTCTGTCCATACTGCTTCAGTAACCCTCCCTTCCCTGACATGCGTAAGGGGATGGGATGCAACGAATGCACCCATCCAACCTGTATGCACTCCATCACCAAGCTAGGCGTGGCTCAGTGCATAGAGTGTGATAATGGAGTCATGGTACTAGACCCGTCGTCTGCACCCAAATGGAGACTCGGTTGCAACAAGTAAGTCAACTCTCACGCCCAGCTATATGACTGTCCCGCTCATTGGCAAAGATTTACTGTAACTTTTTGCCCGTGAGCAGAGCAGTTTACTGTAACATTTTGCCCATGAGCAGGGCAGTTTACTGAAACATTTTTGCCTGTGAGTAGGAAAGTTTACTGTTACATTTTGCATGTGAGCAGGACAGTTTACTGTAACATTTTGCCCATGAGCAGGGCAGTTTACTGAAACATTTTTGCCTGTGAGTAGGAAAGTTTACTGTTACATTTTGCATGTGAGCAGGGCAGTTTACTGTAACATTTTGGCCATGAGCAGAAAAGTTTACTGCAGCATTTTGCCCATGAGCAGGGCAGTTTACTGTAACATTTTGCCCTTGAGCAGGACAGTTTACTGAAACATTTTGCCCATGAGCGGAACAGTTTACTGTAACATTTTGCCCATGAGCAGGGCAGTTTACTGAAACATTTTGCCTTTGAGCAATAAAGTTTACTGTAACATTTTGCCCATGAGCAGGGCAGTTTACTAAAACATTTTGCCTGTGAGTAGGACAGTTTACTGTAACATTTTGGCCATGAGCAGGAAAGTTTACTGCAGCATTTTGCCCATGAGCAGGGCAGTTTACTGTAACATTTTGCCAATGAGCAGGACAGTTTACTGTAACAGTTTGCCCATGAGCAGGACAGTTTACTGTAACATTTTGCCCTTGAGCAGGACAGTTTACTGTAACATTTTGCCAATGAGCAGGACAGTTTACTGTAACAGTTTGCCCATGAGCAGGACAGTTTACTGTAACATTTTGCCAAGGAGCAGGACAGTTTACTGTAACATTTTGCCCATGAGCAGGACAGTTTACTGTAACATTTTGCCCATGAGCAGGACAGTTTACTGTAACATTTTACCCAAACGGGTACAATTTTCTTACTATTACCTCAGGTGCAACGTGATTATGAACATCTTTGAAGATGCCCATCGCATCTCTGTCGCCGATTATCATTGTGAGAAATGCGAGGCAGCCATCTTAGATGTGGACTTCAATAAGGTAAGCTCATAACTGACTTTGGAACTTATTCTCAGTCTTAGAGGGCATTATCTTCATGATTGATTGGTTCTGAATGATTCTTACTACTCCACAGAGGGGTTAGAATTGACGCCCTGCTTCTCGGGGATAGAAGTATTTAGTCCCCCAGTTCCATCAATTAGATTGACAAAGGTCCCCTAGCCCGGAAGGCACTGTTCCAGAGCAACCCAAAAGACATCGTCATACCTCATGAATATTGGAATTGATCTTGAAGATTCATTTATAAGATGGATCCGCCCATACAGTTTCGACGCGAATTTTTAACGATTACGTTGACATTTCATCATGGGGTCGCCGCAGATTGTGCGGTAATCCGGAAAATCATGCTGAAAACAATCCGACTCCGCTGTCAAATCCACGGTATCCTGGGCCCTGGGAGTGGTTTTACTAGACTCAGGACGATCTGTTACTGACTGTGTATTTGATTTCCGTGTATTTCCGTCCACTCATGTTCGCAAGATAAATTGGCCCATTTTAGGCCAGCTCAGGGCAGCCATTTTTTTAAATTTAGGCATGTTATTTGCACATAGCCTGGGGCCAAGGAATTTTTCAACCTACACTGTTGCTGCACTTTTAAAGATGACTAAAGCCAAACATTTTGATAAAAACCGTTTGCTAAAATCTGAAAATAATTTACTTTTTACCTTTAAGCTTTTGCTACACTATAAGCGTTTACTTCGTTTCTTATGAATAAAAAGGAGTAAATGCTTCATATTTCAATTTTTTACTTGTCATATACATTGTACATGTATCAAGGTTGGGTTGGGGCTACCTTGAAAATATAAAAGCACATAATTCTGCGCATAAATTACTGCATTTATTAATGTTAATCTCGAAAAAGTACAAATAATACCATACGGTAGTTCGTATTGTAACGGGCGCGAAATTACTTGTTCAAGTACTAAATGACTAGAGACTAGACAAGAATTCTGACTGGAGAGATCGTGTTGTTCTTCAAATAATAATAACGGTTTTATTATCTTCCAATACTGTTAGCACACACCGTGCCCGATGCGTATAATCTAATGCCTATGTGGATAACGATGAAGCGGAGCGCCAATGTGCATTGCAATCGAATGTTGAGTACGACGCGCTCCTTATTCTGGGTGAACTTCCTCATCAGGCCAGAACCAGTCACGATCTGAACACCAAGCCCCGACTTGGCTCGTCTTTTATAGCGTTTGGGCGCGTACATAACGCAAGCAGCTAGCGCATCATAACAAAATGTCTCTTGCAATGCTCTGATTGGCCATAAACCACTGCACCAAATAATATTCTTATTCATAATAACAATCATAGCGTCTTGACCTATAAAGCTTCGATGAATTAAACTTGTACAAGTCATTTCATTTAACAGTTATTCTACCATTAGTTTATCATAGGCCCTATTATCAGTACACAGTCAACTGTATGGGCATCAATTCTTCTCATTAAAATACGAGTTGTTAACTTTAAACTTATCTTCTTATCAATTAAGTTTATGAAAGGAACCTGTATTTTATCAGAGTGAAGAATAAAGTGTGCTTACTGGAAATTAATCATGACTTGCATATTCGTTACAGTATGAATAAAAACTGGCATTTGCATTACTCCCATCTGTATGTATAAAAATTAATCACCGGGGAGGGTCACGGCCTTGAGGACAGATACAAAAAAAGTGCGCCAAACGTGACGAACGCAATGCCGGCCATGGTCTAAATTATGGATTTGGTTTTTAGTCCCTAACTGATTCCGTGGGTTTGCTACACTATAAGCGTTTACTTCGTTTCTTATGAATAAAAAGGAGTAAATGCTTCAGATTTCAAATATTTACTTGTCATATTTCAAGGTTGGGTTGGGGTTACCTTGAAAATATAAAAGCACATAATTCTGCGTAAAATTACTGCATTTATTAATGTTAATCGCGAAAAAGTACAAATAATACCATACGGTATAAGTTCGTATGAATAAAAACTGGCATTTGCGATACTCCCATCTGTATGAATAAAAATTAATCAAAGGCCTTTACTAAAAACCATTTGCTCTTTCCCCAGACTATTCTTCTGGGGTTTTCCTCCCACCTCTAAAACTGTAATTTCTTCTCTTTGTCTTCTCTCTACATGTTTTTTTTCGGGCTTTGCGAGCTACAGTGCCTGGGGCATGCACTTTTGAGGAATCTTTGCCACGTGGGTAAAGGCAGGCACTTTGTCTAAGCAAGGTATCCGGGTTTTTGGGGTTTTTTTTTATCAGGTCGGGTCGGTTCGGGTCGGTTTTACCTTATTTTTTGTCGGGTCGGGTCGGGTCGGTTTGAGGGAGCACTTTTGAGGAATCCTTGCCATGTGGGTAAGGGCAAGCACAAAAAAGTGATCACTTTGTCCAAGCAAGGTATCCGGGTTTTGGGTTTTTTGTTATCAGGTCGGGTCGGTTCAGGTTGGTTTTACCTTATTTTTTGTCAGGTCGGGTCGGGTCGGGTCGGTTTGAGGGAGTTCAGATCGGTTTCGGTTTAGATTCGGTTTATATCTCTAATATTTCGGGTCGGTTTGGCCTGGTCAACGCGACCCGATGCACATCATTACTTCAAATGTACATTTAACGCCTCGGGTACCCTTTATTAAATCAATCACCATTGAGCAGTTTTGACATCAGACGGATATGTGATTTGATTATTTAATCAGCCACCAACAATAACCAACAAATTGACAACCTACCGTATCTCATTAGATCAACTAAAACCACCCTACTGGAATAATGACATTGGTACATCATTTAAGCGTGTACGATTTAGTCAATAATGACATGCCTTATTGATTATCATTCCAAGCATGTACATTTTTCTTCACAAATGTTGGAATGTTTTTTGGCCAAATTCCTACTCTCGTGATTTGATTTGAAAGGTTCAGGAAGTCCACCTTCATCAACTGGTTAAAATTGTAGACAAAAAGTTTGACTGAGTTAAAAATTATTTTAAAACATGCGAAGTAGGATTTTGTTTGTGGCTTTATTGTAACAAAACAAAATGAATCTTATGATGCATGTACATGTATGCATTCATATGCAACCACAAAATAAGCTTCAATAATCAAAGCAAGAGCTTTCCAATGATTGAGGGCACTAAGTTTAGAAACGGAAATTGCCAACTTATTTGAAGTTGTAAAACTAACTTTTGAGAAAATGGCATTTAAAACTCCTGACGCTGTATTACAGAGAATGATCACTCGTTTTATAGATGCTGATAAAACAAAATACTTGAGGAAAAATAGAACTGGACTTATGGACTGAGTTTCACCTGAAAACAAAAATTGATGACCACTTCAAATGTTGCCCCTGTAGGCCTACTGTTAAATTGCAATTTGCGACTTTATGTTCATGTTGTGGCAACACACCACATATACATGTACATGTATGATAGAACTACAGTCATTAGTAATGACCCTAGACATGCTTGAGTCTATAATCAATTGAGAATTCATATATGGGCATTTCCACACTAATGGGCCAATACTGTAGTTTATGGATGTTGCATATAAGGCCAAAAAAAAAGTCTCCGGTTTCTGGTATGGAGCTTGCCAAAAAAGTGGTGCGGCGACGCGTTTTTTTTTTTTTTTTACCTGACTTTTTTGCTTCAAATGTCGGCTGATGACTGCAAATGGTGTCCGACTAAACTTACTGCAAATATATGGGAGTCCAGAGAGGCCACATAAAGCTTATTCTCGATCATAACCCCATCTAAAAACACGTTAAAATTGTGCAGCAGCAGGATTCCAGTCAAACCAGTGAGTTTGGCGGTTTTGAGACATCATCTTTCATTAAAAAAAAAACTTTTTCATTTTGCCGACGCGCATGGCTACGGCGACGCGCGCGCATACCAGAAACCTGGAGACTTTTTTTTTTTGGCCTAAGATGAGCTAGTGTTTTTTTCAGTTTTTTCCTATACCAGGTATACCTTGCTAAGTTGAAAGTGACTAGGACAAGACAAGACAAAAGATGTTAGCTTTTTTATTTGAGAAAATAACAGGTCTTTTTTTCTGTGTTACATGTAAGTAACATGGACAGACACACTGCAAGGAAAAGGGTGCTTAGGACAAATTCAGTTTCTAATAGGCATGTTCATTTGACATTATCAACCCATTATCAAGCGAAAATATAACAGTTTAATTTGCACTGGCTTCAAAGTTATGATGTGATTAGAGTTGCGTGTGAACAGGGACAGACATTTTGTGACAAATGTCCAGTCAGTTCGTATTTGTAAATCCTGATTATATAATATCAAACAATTCTTCACATTGACTCTGGGTTTTCTAGGTTTTGACTGATGGCATTCCTTAAGGGTACATGTATATCTTCCAAAATCAGACATTAGGGGATCATGAAATGTTATGCTTACCTTGTGATTTTTTTGAAATATCTGTCTTTCGTTGCGTACGTAACACTTTTAAAAACAATATCCACCGTATTTTCTAAAATACAAAACCAGTTATATCCTTTGCTGGTGAGGATATTTGTTCAAAGCGTGCAATGTTTACAGCAACAATTGAAAGACCAAGATTCTAGTTTTATTATCAAAACTCAAAAGGTAATCTCAAATGTCACACTTTTGGGCCCATTAGTGTGGAATTGCCCAAATACAGTTTGCTTGTCTGAAACTAATATCTTCTTAGTGAATCCGAGGCACTGAATTACCATTTTTATTTGCCACAACTCTGAAATATGTGGCTAGTCGGAAACGGTGGTTACTCTAGCCAAGGTTTAACAGTCAGTTAGTGTTGTGTAGCCTCCATTTGGCAGTTGTCCCGATTCTCATTCAGCTAAAGCCCTCCTTCTCTGGCTGGCAAATTCAACAGAGCCACCCCAGCAGTCCAAATCAGTCCAGTGACTGTTTTTAACAGTTGAGTGCTCCCTGCCTGTACAAAGGAGGATTGACTGGTTATGACTGTTTAAGCCCACCGTTCCAATTTCACTGGTTACCGGATCTCCGGTACGTT